CCTGGAGGCCAAGTCCAGCCCATCTAAAACCCTATCCTGGGCGTAGGGCTTCCCAGGTGGCCACCCACCATCCTTGGTCCTCCATCGGTTTCCCCCAACCACCGATCACTTGGTAGTTTTCAGGCTTTGTGCAGTTTTATTCCAGTTCCAAAAGACTGAAATGCCTCTTCTAAGACTCTGTTTATGGGTAGTAAGGAATCTGAGATCAAATATACTAGTATTTTTGGCCTTACCACTGGAATGGTGTGGCCCCCAACAGCATGACTAAAATGGAATTTGGCCCTTGGGCTTGAAAGATGTTCAATACCCCAATACACTGTGGTTTACTTTGTTAAAATAAGGGAGGAAAAATAAGTAGCTGTTCTCTTTGCTTTTTTGTCAGGTAGCCTGAAAGCAGAAACCCTCCAAGGGGGATCTTGGTCAACTGGTTTATAGCAATCGCATACAGAAGGTTGGTTTCTCACCCTTCTTCTCTACTATTTATCCATTGACTTGGTAATCCACAAAGTAGCCATATTTATGACCTAGCTGCTTTGTACACTATTCTTTTGCTCAGATACCAGGCCCTAGAAGATTCTGGTCAGATATATCTTCCTAACTGAAGAGGAAAGCAGAGGGGAAAGGGGGCATGATTTCAGCAGGGTCAGGAAGCAGGCTTTTTCTCTTCCTAACCTACAAGGTCAAAATGCCTTTTCTAAGGTTGAGTTACTGGTGGTGAGACTAAATAGGCAGGCAATAGGATTCTGCCACTTCTGCTTGTTCACCGCTGGACAGCCCCTCCTCCAAAGGGTTTCCCTCTAATGCAACTCAGTCCTTGGGCTGAATGCATTTCAACACATCTGGGTTAAAGGGGTTATAGAATAGCGTGGCTGATGAAAGGCATTTGTGCTGTCTGAGGTGGATCAGCAAAAGGCAAACCTACCCAGTTGAGGGTCATTGTACTCAAGGCCAGCCAAATTATACATGCCTTGCCTGTGTGTAATAAGCATTTTTTTAATCTAAATATTTAAGATCTTTTCTTCAAGGGCACTCACATTGTGTACATACCTGAACATGTTCCATCACTGGGGAGCAATATCAAAGACTGGGTAATTGATTTTGTCATATATTAATGAAGTTCATGTTACACTTTGATACTATTTATTCAAACTTACATGGGTAATGAAAGCCAGACATCCAGCAGCTAACTAACCAAGCCGTATTCCATCCCATGAACAGTGAAGTTACTGGGTGTCCTCACTGCAGGAGTCCTTTTGATTCAAGGCTGCCCGCACATTGCCCTTATTACAATTATGCCATAAAAATAGTATCCCTGTGGTTGGTTGGTTTTCCAGACAGACTGCCATACTTAGAGGCTCTTAGTGCATGACTGCCATAGTCACAAAGCGAGTAGCCAAGCTCTGCTTTGCCCCCAGTCATCACATCATAGGATGACCATGTATTCTACTTTGTAGTGAACAGTCCTCTGTTGGAAGGACTCTCAGATGGTAGTCCTCTCTATTGTTCTCTTTTGTGTTTTGCATTTCTTTTTCTTTTTCTTTGGCAATGCATAAGTGACCACCTCACATCAAGAAAGGGCAGATAATGATGAAATCAGAAGGTAAGCACTCCTTAGCTGTCTGATTGTGGGTGCTTCATCTGCAGGTCACAAGTACTATAGTTACTAGATGTAAGCATGCATCTACTTGTGCATTCCGAAGCAGCTGGGGTGCTGGATTAGCTAATGATCCCAAGATTTAATTTGCCACCATGAAGGCATCACCAAGACTGATGTTCAGGGCCCCAGCCTGAGACCTTGCAACAGCTTGCAGGGCTGAATGTTTCCCTCATTCAGGACACAATCCATTGCTTATTTATTATATCTATATTTATGTCCCAGCTTTTTTTTTTTAGAAAATTTCTATGCCACCCCATTCAACGAAGCCTCGGGGCAGCTCACAAAACATTTTTGCCCAGCTGTCCCTGTATAATCCTCTTTCTCTTCTACATTTTGATCCGCACATCATCTTGTGAAGTAGGTTAGGCTAAGACCGAGTGGCCAGCCAAAAGTTCATGCATGTCCTAATCTCCATCCAGCACTCTAACCACTGCACCACACTGTCTCTCTATTTAGACAGAGACACCTCCTATAACTGGCTGGGGAATACTGGGAGTTGTTGGACATTTTGCTGTCTAAACATTCAGAGGACTGCCCCCTGAGTGTCTGTCCAAACATTTCCTTCATGTTCTCACCGTCTTATCATCTTACTAACCATACCATGAAATAGCATTCTCCATAAATGATGAATTCACAAATGGAAGGATTACCTACAGTGAGGTCAAATATGTTTCTGTTTTACATCACTGGCTTTTGCCAAGACTTGGGAAACAGACCTCTCCTTTCTGTAGGGGATTTATTATGCATTCAGTTCATATTTGTTAAAATATGATAAGCTGGGTGATAGAAAATAGAATCCTAGAGGCTTGCATTGCCAGAGTAATTAATCAGGTAGGATGTGGCTCCAAAACAGCATGCTTCTTGGGGGAAACACTTCTAAACTGAGTAATATGTCTATATTGTGCATGCAGTTTGATTCTCCATGCCTGAAACTTTTCTCTCCACCTCAGAGGAGGAGATTTGATGAACCCCATGGCCTCTGGGACACTCTGCAAGGGACCAAAAGATAGCTACCAATGAGATAGTTCCAGTTTGACCTTTTGCTTATCAGTCCATTAACTGGACTGATGGTATTACAACCATTTGCCCTTCACATTTTTTCTCCTTCTACAAACTAATTTTAACTATTTAGTAATAAAGCAAAACTTCATAAGCAAAATTTGGCATGAACTAAAACTTCTGTTTCCAAATAATGCCCAGGGGTACAGAGGGCAACTTTAAAAACCAAAGCACTAAAAAAGTAGTGAAAAGACCAGAATAAAAGAAAGTTAAAATACAGATAATATGTATGAGCAGCAATCACATAATCAACATTCATTGATAAAAGTTCAAATAAAACTTTTCAGTCAGCATATTGCATGAACTAGGCTCACTTCCCCTAAAGTACACTCTTGCAAGGTTATCACGTCAGAATTTGGATCAGAACTGGAAGTAAAGAAGGGGTCAGAATCCTTTGCTGAAATGCCAAGGTCAGCAGGCCCAGCAATAAGCCAAAAGTTTGGTGAGAACCAGACTTCATCTAATTCTGTGGATAACAATGTTGAATGAGTGGTGTTAGATGGTTTAACATGCTTCATCAGTCAAAACGTGGTCCAACTGAGTAGCATCAGATGTTCTGGCTAATTGGCTAATGAGTAGCAAGAATTTCCCTGAAAGTGCCAGCTCCACTTGGTAGTCAAGAGAGGAGAGATATACTGTTTGGAATCAGCTTCTTATAATGAAGCCACATTTCCCCTAATGGGCAGTAATTGAACTTCACTTGTACCTTTCATTAATGATGACTGAAATACTCTTATTTTGTATCACCAAGTCAGCCTAGTTGACCAATTTTAATATGAAGACTAGTTTAAATCTTTTGGGCTTGATATGTTGTTCATTTATTAGGTTTCTGTCCTGCCTTTTCCTTTTCTTTTTTTCTTTTTAAGATCTCAAAGCAGCTTACATCCTACTCCTCCTGCTGCTCTCAGTCTTACCCCCACAACAGCAACCTTGTGGCTGAGAGCCTGTGACAGGCCCAGAGTCACCCAGTAGGCTCCCCATGGCTGAGTGGGGACTAGAACCCAGATCACCTGAGTCCCAGTCCCATGCTCTTAACCACTACACCTCACTGGTTCTCTCACTGTTTGGACAGAAGGGGCCAAAACCCAGCTCCTGACACACACGAATTCAGCAGCTTGGATGGCTCCTGAATGCCCACTGGAGAGTGCTCCACAAGCCAGTTACCACGTCACCATCAAGTGCACTTTCATTAGATTCATCAGAAGAGGAAAAATGGAAGCCTGCCATCCACTGGTTCCACAGAGACCACCCGAATGATCATCTCTCCCTATTCTGCCTCCATGGCCATGGGTAGAGAAGATCAGCCTTGGAAAGAAAGACACAACCTTCCTTTCCTCCCTTCTGTTTCAGAAAGCACTAGTTCCTTTGAGTCACTGGAATTCTGGTACTGGGAAGTAGTAAAAGGAGGGGTGTGGGTATTGTCCATGGGGATGCCAGGAGAAGCTGTATATCTGTAGGGTTCACAGCTCTCCTGGCCCTAGAACCAACTCCCTGCCAAATCTGCTGATGACCTGTGGCTTCACTGGGTGAGAATTGGCTGAAAATGAGGGTGGAAACCATTCAAGACCATCAGAGGCTGTGTACTTGGGACTGTCCAATCCATCTCATCTTCTTCCCTGAACTGAGGCACATGAATTATGTTTTTTGATTGCATTCACCTATGACTGAAGCCAGATCTTGTACTAATTGGCACACCTTTGCATGCAAATTTCTAAATGTATCTAGTACACTATCTAATAATATCAGCTTTGTTTGCAGCAAAGCTTGCCTGTTTGCCACAGGTAATCAGAAATTCCATTTAGGTGAGTTCATAAAATTCCATGCGAGTGAGCAGGACTGGTGGCAGAAGGGCTGATTTTTCCAGTTTCCCCCAACTATCCTGCTTGGTTTCTCTGCTAACCATAGAAGAAGTGTCTTCCTTCACTGCTATCAATCTCTCCTATGCCAGCCCATTTGACAGAACTCTTAGAAAAAGTAAGAAATAGGCTGCACTTTCACGCTGATACCAGAAGTTTCTCTTGCAACACAGTCATGCAGTGTAGCAGCCTCTTAGCAAGGTACTAGCAAACTCCTCGCAAAATGGTGATCTTTATGGGACTGTTTGTAAAGTGGCAATAAATGTAACCCACTACGAACATTTTAATGCTATAGTGCTATTAGTGTGGAATGGAGACCCAGTAGAGGGGGAGCTACTATATTTCCTCTCTGGGCTAATGGGTGGGACTTGAGAATAAAGTGGGCTTGGTTTAAAAGCACTTAGCTCTATTTGGGCAGTTCTACAGGAGAACTGAAAAGCAATCTGTCCAGTTTACACTGAATAGCAGGGAGTTTGTTCATGCTGTTGGTTTTCTGAAGCAAGAAAGCAAAGAGTGGGAGATTCAGCAAACCTGACAAAGGAGCAGTATGAGCACCGCAGGCAAAGTAAGTGCACAAGTTCATGTGGAGCCTTCACTGGCATTCATAATCCAAAATGAAAATTAAATTATTGTCTATTGTGGGAGCAAGTATTCTTAAAGTAATTTTATTGCACCTATTTCTCTGTTAATTTTTATCACTTTACATTGTAATTCTGAATTTGCTTTATCAATACAGATTGATATTCAGTATACACAAACCACTTTTTCTACTAGTGGTAGGAATAATAAACTCTAACTATGCAATCCTACAGATGTGTACTTAGAAGCAAGTCCCACAGGGTACATTGACACTTCTCCAAGGTGGGTGGACAAAGGATCGTGGCCTTACTCAGCCAGATCTCAGCACAAATGCTTATTAATGCCAGAACCGGAAGGTGGAGAAAAAATATTAATGGAGTGTGTTACATGAACCAAGAAGAGACCAGCAATTTTGGAGGGATTTTTAATTACAGTATCATCAAGACTTGTGTGAGGTAGAAGACATTTAATCTAGTCAGCAGCTTTCCCCCACCTGCTGCCTTCAGAATACAGTTCCTGTTATCCCCCTGCAGCAAGATGAAGGCTGATCTAGCAGTGTCCTCACAGCTATGGATGTATTTTTTATTATTTCAACATTATTTAAAATATTTATTGGTCACTCCAGGGCATAAGACCTCCCACAGGAGCATGCAGCAGTAAAAACCCATAAAACTGTGATACAATGTAAAAGAAGTAATAACAGAAAAAAATTATCAAGGTTTTGCAAGTTAAAATGCATGGGAAAACCAGGTTGCCTCACTGGTTTCAAATGCTTTAACTTGTTCCTTACGCAATGCTTTACTTTTCCCAGGTTGCTTTCATACTTCAACCCAGCAGCATGGTTTGAGCAAATCTGTGTAAATTCAAACATGATAAGCCATCCTGATTTATAACTCAGCATGGCTGATCGTGTTGTATGAACCTGGCTTCATTTTTATCATGAAAGCAATAGGTTACATCCAACTCTTTTTACTTCTTTTTCCACACGATCACACAGATCCATAGGCAAACTCGCTCTGTCTTTTATTTTTCATCTCAAGGCAAGCACACACCAAGAAAGGTATTACATTCTTTTTAAAACATTATGTCAAGGAAATCCAAGGTTGTGCGATCAGATAAAATTCAGAGATACTTCAGTTTGGCCAAAGGGAATTCAGTTACAAAGCTAACAGTTGACACTGTACTTTGTATCTTCTGAGCTGCTCATGAAAATAGAACTGCCAATAGAAAACACCTTATGCAAATCTACAGTGTTATCACACCTGGCATGCTGTGTACAGTTCTCGTCACTGGATCTAACAGAAGCTATTGTAGAGCGGGCAAAAGTGCAAAAAAGGCAGCTAAGGTGGTGGTCCCATCACCCTCCCATAGCAGGATCTTGTCAGCCTCTCCATGCAAGGGTTTATGAGAATCCAATGAAGGGATAAGGCATGAGGTAAGTAGTGGTCCTCAGTATTGGAGAACCCTGCACTTTGCCTGTTCTCTGGGTAGCTATTTTTGGCCATCTAGTTTTAGTACCAGGGGGGACAAGGTAAGGAGGCCGGAGCACGGGTTGGAATCAGTGGGCAGTTCCACCACCTGAAGCTCCTCCCCTACCGGCCCATCCAGCACCCCTCCTTTCTGCCTCCAAAGCCGAGTTGCAGCCATGCCATGTAGGTGGGGAGAGGGGGGAAGCTGGTACAGTTATTTCCACATCAGCTGTGAGGGGTTGGGGGCTATGTTGGGGGGGCATAGGATTGTATCTGTCAAGCCGTCAGGCACGTCTACTCATGAGGAAGAGGCAGGAGCTAACAGTGAGAGTCAGGCATTGGAACAAGGGGACTTACATTTGAGGCCCAATGCCCAGATGGCCCCTCTGCAGCCTGACTCTGAGACTGCTGAGCAAGTAACCTCTCTACAGCCTGACCCCTTAGCCAGCCTCTGAGCGAATAGCCTCCCCGCAGACTGATGGGGAGGCATCTGAAAGAGTAGCTTCCTCTCATTCTAACTATGAGCTGCCTGAACAAGTGCCCCCCCCCCCCCGGTGCCTGACTCTGAAACTGCTGAGCAGAGTTCAGGAGAACAAGAAGAATTAACAGGGAATTTGGCAAACGCCCAATTTAGGAGAATTTTAAGGTGGAAAGTCCAATTATGACGACAGGACAGAGGTCTGTCCCACCCACGAATGGAAAGATGAGATAGGAAGGTCTGATGCCACGTGATCTCCTGAGGTAGCTCAGAAAGGAAGCAGCAACTGAACTGTAAGGGGCTTGTTATTAGAGTTTATCAGTCACATCATAAATCTTGTAGTTCTGTCCCACCTTCCTCTTTTCTTGCTCACTACAACCTTGTGTCAGGATCTGGGCTGTTCTGATGGCTAGAACCAGAACAAGCACCCCCACTGTATTTGCAGGATCAGTCCCAAGGCCTGCTGGACCTCTCATTCCATTGATGAATGCCAGCCAACTGGAAGCCCTGGGGGAACAGCTATATAAGAGCAAGCTCTTCCCTCAAGAACTGGTCTTAGCAACACAGTTTCTCCTGCAGCTGCAGTGCCTGCTCCTTGCTTGTTCCTGCATCTTCCCTGTCTCCTGCCTTGCTGTGTTGCCTCCACAGCACAGGGCCTCGTGTTTGCTGCTGCGCTTGCATCTTGCCTGACCTCTTCTCCTCCCGTTCCTGCTGTGTATCTTGCCAAGTCCCCTTGCTATGTTGCTTTAGCTACACCCTGTTCACTGTTGTGCCCGCCTCTTGACTGACCCATATCCTGCTTTGTCAGTGTATCCTGCATTGCCCTCAGTGGCACAGGGCTTTCTGCAAGCTATGGTTCAGTTCCTGCATCTTGTCTGAGCCTTGCTGCATCTGGTTCCTGTTGTCTCGTGTGTCCTGTCCTGCCCTGTCATGTCTCCTGCCTTGTTTATCCTCTTTAAGGTACCTGCACCTCTGTTTGTCCTCCTGCTTCTTGACCCCTTGGCTTGTTCCCAGTCACGTCCTCATTCTGCCCTGATGCATACTTCTGGCTCTTGACTTCAGGCTGGACCTTGGCTATGATTTGGACTTGCCATTAAGTCCTGCATTTGGACTCTGCCTTGCCTGAAGTTCTGTTGCCCTGGCTGGGGCCTCTGTGGCTCTCGTCTTGCCTCTGGCTACCCACATTCCAGCTGTGGAGCCTGAGACCTTGCAGGTAGCTTTACATGAAGCATTCTATTATGCTAACTTAATACACAGCTGATAATATTCTGTTATATTGATCTTAAGCCAGTTGGGTCAAGTCCAACATTTAGATAAAAACATATGATTCCCCCTGCCCTTTGTGAGGTAAAAATGTTCCTGAGGTTTGAGTGGGGAGTGGTACTAAACAGAACGTGCAAAGTTACCAGGAGGAAGAGCCTGAAGAACTGGGCTGGGGGGTGCAAAGCTGACCAGGGAGCATGACAACAGAGTCCTGTGTGTGTGCAAGCTGGACTCAAGGGCATGTGAACAGAGGTGTCTGTATATGCAAACCTAGACAGGGGACGTGAAGAGGTGTGTGTCTACCTGAAGCTGACCTGGAATCTGAACAAGATGCAGGTGATCAGTAGAGCCTGGAAGGGAGAAATCAATGAACTAAGAAACTCAAGATAAGTGTGGTGCTCCAGGCAAAGGCTGATTGAGGCCTATAAATGGGCAGGAGAGAAGATGCCCCTTATCATCAAGAATACAGATTTCCAAAAGCAAAATTAATTAGTAGGCAACCAGGATGCAAAATCAACTGGAGTGTTCTTCCAGAACATGCAAAGACTTGGTGGGGAAAAGCATATTTCACCTGTGTCTAAATGTGGTGATGGTGGGGAATCCAAACTCCAAAAAAAGCAGCAGCTCTTTATCTCTGAAGGAGAAAGAAGATACATATTTCTACCAAACTTGGACCTGTTTTTATTACTGGCTAGAGAAACAGGACTTTGTGTGGATGTAAATATGACTATGGAATGTTGAAAAAAAATGAGCAGGGGGCTGACCCAATATGTCTGATGTATTTGATGATTGATGTTTTTAGTGTTAAAAATTTTAATAAAATCTTTAAAAAAAAAAGCAGCAGCTCAGAGCACCCTTCCTGCTTTTGGGAATGCAAGCCGGCTGCCTGAGCGGCTGAATTGCCCCAGCGGAGGCACAGCTAAGTGAATGTGGAAAGTGAGAATAGACTGGACTGAGCTGCATTTGCTCCAAAGAAGGGTGTCCTAGAAATTGCATTCAGGTTTTGTGTCTGTCTATATCCTATAATTCAGTAGACTAAATATGTAGCATGCAGGTGATCCTACCTTTTTAAAACCTCCATGTAAGTATCTAGGGCCTCAGCTATAGCTCCATTTATAGCTGCAGAGGTTATAACTGGGCCCCATTGACCTCCTGTGCATCTGTAGTGCCCTAAACTGTCATGCTGAAGGATTTGTATTTAATCAAACAAGATGTTTGGTCAATTCACTCGTTGACTGTGTCCGTTTTGGGTGGGACAGCTTAGAACACAACCTGTGATCCTCTGAGACCTTCTCGAGACCCAACCCTAAAGAGGATGCCCTCAAATTCAGCAAGGTCAGTTCATGGTGCAAACCCAAGACCCAACCTCATTTACTTCATTCTCTTGTTCAGATGTGGAATAAGCTATGCTGTGGACCATGTTCAGATTGTCTGAAGGTGTATGAACTTGCTCATCTTCACAGCAGTTGCTTATAACTTCCTCACTAGTAACAAACATTAGCCAAGCTGATTTTTTCCTTTGCATTGTTTTACAGGTCATCAAATGCAAAGCAGCCGTTGCTTGGGAGCCTAAGAAACCCTTTAGCATTGAGCAAATTGAGGTAGACCCTCCAAAGGCTCATGAAGTTCGTATTAAGGTAAACAAAAACAAGATAATATTAATGGCTTCTAAACCAAATAAGGAACAATTGAGGGCCCCTGCACAGCTTCTGAGGGGCCATGGGATGCTTCAGATTCCTAAATCAGGTGATGGAGTCTGCATTCTGACCTTGGAGCTGGAAATTGGAGCTCAGAGCCACCCACTCACAGCTGGCAAGAAAGATTCATACTGGCTGCTCTCTGAGGTCAGAAAAGTGGCCTTAAACAGGGAAAGGTGAGGATATTTTGATGGATGAAGAGAGGAAGAGACCAGAGAGTCTGAAATAAGAGTTGTCTTGATGCCTCTACAGCTTCCTTTCCTATCCTTTTGAAATGCTGTTGCTACATGGGCATATCCATACAGAGTAGGTGGGATGGGGTGCTGAAGATCACCTCTCCTCTTCCTCCTGCCCTGCAGAGGATGTGTGTAAACCCCTGAATTTAGGGGCTTAGAATCCTTTTAACAGGAATGCACACCTTTGGGTTCATCCTTGCAGTGTTTTCAGATGTTTACTGAAAATTAGAGGGGGAAATATAAAGTTGTTATATCGATTAATATAGCCACCTTTTATAGCAGAGATGCAGAACACCATTAATAAATAGTGTACAACAGAACTCCACACATTCCTTCTGTTTGATGTTCTGATGGTACTCTTTGACAGATTAGTACCTTAACCAAAAGTAAACGCATTTATTACCCAGAACCATTGCAAATTTCTTTTGCTTTCCAGTGTTTTGAAAAACCTAGTATTTCAGCTTCTAAAGAGCCTTACATTCATACAGGATAATAATTTTAGCAGAACCCTTTAACCCAGGGGTCCTCAAACTTTTTTACCAGGGGGCCAGTTGAAAGGTGCCGGTGCTGGGCGCAGGCCGGAAAAGTGGTGCCGGCGGTGCGCATGGGCCGGCGAGGAGGTGGGGCGCGAGGCGAGGGCAGGCATGCCAGGCAAGGGGAGGCGAGGCGAGGGCGCGCGCGTGGCGAGGGGAGGCAAGGCGGGGTGGGCACACGCCGCAAGGCGGGCACATGAGGCAGCGGCTTGCTCACTCGGAGATCGTTTTCTCCAAGCAAGCAAACCGCTGCCTCCCCATGCGCGGGGCAAGGTGAGCGGCAGTGAGCGTGCGTGTGGGCGTGTGCACAATGGGTTCAAATGGGCATGGCGAGCCAGATCCAGCCCCCAGGCCACAGTTTGAGGACCCGTGCTCTAACCCTACAATAGTAGGCCTTCCATTTTCCTCAGCAGTAATGTATCTGTTGGAGTCCTTGCAATCCCTGTTTAGACATTTTTCTTCAAAAGGCTCCTGTCTCAGTCCACACGTGTTCAGTCGATGTAAAGAATGTACCAGCTCAACTGATGGCAGAGGCAGTCACTTTCTGCATGGGACCCCTTTGCTGAGGGAAATGCAGTGGCTGCCTATTTCCTACCAGGGTTCTGTTTTGAAATTCCATTTTTGGTGCAAAAAAGCCCAAAATAACTCAGGAACAGAATGCCTGCGAGAGTGAGGTCTCCCCCATCAGCCTGCCGACTTACTTAGTTCCCTGACTGAGGCATTCTGCAAATTCTGTATGGACCTAAGATCTGCTCAGTCACTTTGGAGCAGTGCATTTAATGTGCTGCCTCTCTCTTTGTGGAATTCCCCAGCAGTTGATACCAGGCAGGCTCCATCGTTGTTTTGTTTTGGTACCAAGGAAAGCCATCTTTATTTAAACAAGCTTTCCCAGAATGTTCAGCCACTGTTATACTGTATAACTTGGATGTTAAATGTTTTCAATCTCATGTGCTTTGACTTTTATTTTACTGTTCAACACTTGGGAATTTTTTTAAAGATATGAGGCAATGTTATAAACTCTGAAAGAAAGAATAAAGGCAGACAAGCATGTAAGAAGCATCTAACTCAGTGGCCAAAAATTCCTTGAACACGCACTGTTTAGTCACACGCATTTCTCACCAAGCTTTCTCATCATAGGAAGGTGGAGTGCGACCCTATGGCCTCCTGACATCATCTGAGAAGCCATTCCTTGCGGGGAGGCTGCCCTGCCTCTGCCGCCACAGCCAGTTGCTCCATCCCCAAGATCACCACTGAGTCTTAGAGGGGGAAAGCGGGGTGAGCGTGGGGACAAGGAGCAGAGGGGGCTGCAGCCATGGAATTCCACCAGTGCCAATGGGTGCCCCACCCTCCTCCCTGGTGCTAGACCAGATGGCTGCCTAGAGAAAATGCAGGCTCTGAGGCATGGTGGCTGCACTGACTGCAGCCTTGCCGATCGCCTTGGGTACGCCTCTGCCTTTGGAGCCTTGTGAGCATCTTCCTCAGGGACGATAGCATGGTACGTGATGGCATCATCCTTTGCAAGCTTAGACAGCAAATGTCCTACAACTAGGGCTAAACATGGATGGGATTTCCTCCTCCTGCTGAGTTTGACATTTGGTTACATTTAACTCACAATTGCCTGCACCAAAGGTTTTTGTATCCTTGGACCATCAGTGGTCCATCTGAGAAGCTCACACGCATAGTTTTTGGAAATCATCATTTTAGATTTATTCTGTCTTCAACCTCTGTTTTAAGAAAAGGCCCTAAACACAAGGCCTTTTCCTGCCCTCCTGAAGCACAGTTTCTTGTCTGTGCAGATCCTGGCCACAGGTATCTGTCGCTCGGATGACCATGTGATCACTGGTGCCTTTGCTATGCCTTTCCCAATCGTCCTGGGCCATGAAGCTGCTGGAGTGGTGGAGAGTGTTGGAGAGGGAGTGACTTGTGTGAAAACAGGTATGGGAAAGGACGGGAGGAGCACTTTCATGGGTGCTGAGAGCTACTTTGCACATGCCGTGGCTTCCAGGGCAGGCCCAGAACAGTTGCTGCTCGAAGGAAAGGACACTTGCTGTCCTCGGAGAAAGAGGGCCCCTCCCTCCCCCATTCCATCTATAGAAGATGGCTGGATTTACAGCAAGACTGGTGAAGGGACAGCATCTCCCACCTCACCTGAAGGTGGATGCAGACACTGCCCCTGAGCAGAGAGAACCCCAAGGAACTGGCACTCTTGCTCCGTCCTTGCCACCCAGCATCTGCCTGCATTGTCTGTCTCTATGTCTTGCAGGGTACCTAAAGAATGGCATTTAATGTTATGGCTGGGCCCATATCATGCTCACTGCTTTCCAGTTAAATCCCACTGGACTCAGTAGGATTTATTTTGAGAAGAATGCTTATAGCTGGAGTTCATGATTTCCATACCAAGGTTAATTAACCATAGAAGGATACGGTCCACCGCAAATATTTCTAGTGGTCTTGTCTGGAAATATTTATACTTGACTGTTATGTTCCAGAGCCCAGTGGAAAGTAGATTTGTTTGGGTGTGTTTTGCTTTGTCCATATATGTTTGTATATTCAAATCCCTGATTGTAAAAGTTGTAACTGTTTATTTTTTGATTGCAGGAGACAAAGTAATTCCACTCTTCGTTCCACAATGTGGAAAATGCTACTCCTGCCGAAGTACCAAAGGCAACCTATGCAATGAAACTGAGTAAGCTTTGTTATGGTTTTGTTTCCAAACACAGTACTTCAATGTACCCTTTAATAGCTACTATTTAAAAAAATGAAAAGGAGCACGGAAGGCAGGGATAAAATTAAATGTAGCCCCTCTTTCTCTCTGTCTCTCTCTCTTCATGTGCCTCCAATTAGCAGAAGCCTCTAGTGCCTTCACAGTGGCTTGGGGCTCACCTGTGAGTGTCCCAGGCGAGTCCACAGTGAATAGTTAAGGAAGTGATTAGAGATTAAGGCAAGAAATTTCACACAGCTCAAGAAAGGCAAACAGGCTGGGTGCCCGTAATTTCTCCTTCAGTGACTTCCGCAGTCCTTAAACCACTCAACTTCCTGGTCTCCAGAGTGCTGGGGTGGCAGCAGGGAGGGAGGGAATTAAGGATGAGTGGAGGGACACAGACCTGTTCAAGGCTACTCAAGGAGCCTTACGGATGAACAGGGACTTGCACACAGGTGCCCTGGGCCAAGTCTAGCATTCTGCTCACTACAGTGCATGAGGGTGAGTTCAGACTACATGTGCCATTAACTTCATCTTTGCATTTAGCATGCAGGATACCTCAAAATCCTAACAGCAGTGGCGTGGAGGCAGATAATTGTTGAAACCTTTCCCCCTTTGCTGTGGTACTGAGGAAAATCTCTCCTCTGCTGGAGCTGATCTTTGCATTAGAGGGACGTTCTTAGTAGCACCAGTGAGAGCTTTCCTTCCAATCGCAAATAGCAGTGTTCAGTGCAATCTTATAGTCACCTACTCAGAAATATGCCTCATTTCATTCAGAGAGAGTTACTCCCAGGTAAGTGTGTACATGATTGTAGTTTTACAGATCAATCCTATGCAAGTTTTGACAAAAGAACTCCCAGCATGCCCCAGCTGGTATAGCTGGGCATGTTGCAAACTACAGGCTTTTCCCCCATCTAAGCTTGCAAAGGTTCACACCCTTACAGAAGGTTTTCCGTCAGGACCACAACAGGGGAGGAAATGGTTAACTTTCCCCAGCAGTGAAACCTTTTCCAGAGATGCAAAGATGTATTTGATCTCATGTTCAGTGTGTCTCTGACCCAAGATCCCATTTTACCGAATCTTACTTTCACACCTTTGTGTGTCTTTTTTTCAACAGCATTAATAAAGGAAAAGGTTTGATGCCTGATGGCACCAGCAGGTTCACTTGCAAGGGGAAGCGGCTGCACCATTACATCAACACCAGCACCTTCACTGAATATACCGTGGTGCATGAGACCTCAGTGGTCAAAATTGATGCCGCTGCCCCTTTGGAAAAAGTGTGTCTGATCGGCTGCGGGTTTTCTACTGGTTATGGAGCAGCTGTTCAGACTGCCCAAGTGAGTATCCAAAGAGGCACTTCAAGGTATGTTGCTCCGGTACATATTTACTATCATCCCACAGGGCATCCATTGCATGTCTCACTTCCAGAGAGGCAAGGTTAGTGAATTCTTTGGACAGGACTTTTGCAGCAGTGCCCCATTTGTGGAACTCAGCCACAGGAAAAGTGAGGTTGCCTTGTTCCTTTATTATTATTATTATTATTATTATTATTATTATTATTATTATTATTATTATAGCATTTCTATGCTGCCCCTTGCCGAAACCTCGGGGCGGCTTACAACATGATAAAATACATTGAAATACAATAGTACATAATAAATTACCATTAAATATAAAAATACAAAAAATACATTGATTTACAAAAATAAAATTAAAATTATCAGTATAAAATAAAAATATAGGAGGAGAAAGAGAAGGAAGAAGAAGTTGCCCTGGCCAGATCATATGTTTTAACAATTGAAATGATGTTTAAATAAAAAGGTCTTTACCTGGCGCCGAAAAACCAGTAACGACGGTGCCAGGCGGACCTCTTTGGGGAGTGAATTCCATAGGTTGGGCGCCACCACAGAGAAAGCCCTCCTCCGGGTACTTACTCTCCTAATTTCTTTCATGGAGGGTTCCCGGAGAAGGGACTCTCCCGCAGATCTCAAAGGGCGGTCGGGCATATACGGACGTAAGCGCTCGTTCAGGTAGCCAGGACCCAAGCTGTTTAGGGCTTTGTAGGTCATAATCAACACCTTGAATTGGGCCCGGGCTTCAATGGGAAGCCAGTGAAGCTGACGGAGGACTGGAGTCATGTGAGCATAACGCCCCATCCCCGTCAGCAACCTGGCAGCTCTATTTTGCACCAATTGAAGTGTTCGGACTGTCTTCAGGGGAAGCCCCACGTAAAGCGCGTTACAGAAGTCTAGGCCGGAAGTCACCAGCGCGTGTGTCACCGTCGCCAGGCAGTCGTACTCCAGGTAGGGGCGCAGCTGATTAATCAGCCGAAGCTGAAGGAAGGCGTTCCTCGCTACCGCTGTCACCTGAGCTTCCAAAGAAAGCTCCGGGTCGAGGAGTACTCCTAAGCTGCGGACCTTATCCCTAAGAGGGAGTGTTGCACCATTCAGGACCAGGTCAAATCCACCCTCTCCGAAACCTGATCCGCCAACCAACAGGACCTCCGTCTTGTCTGGGTTGAGTTTCAGTTTATTGGCCCTCATCCATTCCCTTACCTCGGCCAAGCACCGGTTCAGCACAGCCACTGCCTCACCTGGATTAGTGGAGAACGAGAGGTAAAGCTGGGTATCATCAGCGTATTGATGATTCCGCAGCCCACACCTCCTGATGACATCTTAGATGGGTAGAAAAGATAGTCCTGGCCAGTTAAGCTTTCAATGCTGTACAAATTCTGTTGCTCCTAAATGTTAATGCTGCTGTTATTTTTTTTTTTCCTCAGTGTGTGCACGTGTTCTTTGTATTTGGGGATTTTTATGAGTAATTGTAATATAATTGTTGTGCATTGCCCCAGGCACCTATTAAGGAGAGGGTGTGATTTCTGCATTTTAGGGCATGATCCTATGCATGCTTAGACACAGAAAAAGCCCTGCGGCTGCCAGCCCAGCTGAATGGGGAATGCTGGAATTGTAGGGCCTTTTTTCCTGTTTAAGCATGAGTAAGCTTGCACTGTTCTTCACCAGTGTTAGCTGCGTTTTAGTGGGCAACATGTTTGTCTGCTGGTTCTGCCATTTACTTGCCTTTTGCCTTTAGGTTAGGGAGGATTTGTCTGGCCAGTGCCTCCTGTTGCAATACAAAGATCCTGATAAGAAAAATGTTGCAAAGAAAGCATTAAACAGAATGCTTCCCTTGTTCTTTTGTCTGGACATGACAGTGGCTAAGTAAGCTGCAGAATGATGCTACAGGATTCCACAGAATCCTTTTGGCGTGTTAACGCCACTAAACATTGAGAAACTTTTCTATACTCAGTCAGATTTTTGGTCCATCTACATAAGGGGTGGACGACTTGTAGCCCTCCAAGTATTCAGGCCTAGGTGAATCATCAAAGCAGATTGGAAAAGCCTCCAGACCCCTTATCACCCAACTTTTTAAAAAAACTTTTAGTGCCTTTTCCATCAACACCAGTAAAAATTTTCTGCTGCATAAAAATAAAGAGAGTCAATGTTCAATAAACCATGGAGCACGTTTTTGTCTTGTGTGGGTTTTTTTAGGTGGAACCTGGTTCTTCCTGTGCCATCTTTGGCCTGGGAGGCGTCGGCCTGTCCGTGGTCATGGGCTGCAAAGCTGCTGGAGCTTCCCGCATCATCGGGGTTGACATCAACAAGGACAAATTCCCCAAGGCTAGAGAGCTGGGAGCCACGGACTGCATCAACCCTCTGGATTTCAAGAAGCCCATCAATGAAGTGCTCTTTGACATGACAGATGGAGAAGGCGTGGACTATTCCTTCGAAGTGATTGGGCGCACAGACACCATGGTATGCGCATGAAGATAAGATTGTTGAGGCAGATAGTGCAGATACAACATAATTAAAGTAGCCAGACTAGATATGGATCAATCATTCGGCCACTTGGGAGCTATAGTCTAATATAGGAAAGTTAACATAGGGTTTGAGGTTCCCCTCCAGTCAGAGGGGATGTCTTATGAAACAAAGAAGTGTTTACTCACACCTGCTGTTGGTAGCACAGGTGAAGAGGCAGCTCCCGTTTTCTCACTGGTCAGCATGGATCTAGCAAAGCAGCAGTAACACAAAGGGGTCTGGTGAGAGGCCGTTGTACACGGCAGCCCCTGGTGTCATCTGCCCAGTGAATTCAGCAGGATTCAAGGAAGGGAGGAAAAGATAGCGACAACCTTGGTATTCACATATTTTAACTGCAGCCCTGTTTAACTGGACTGTCCACTGATCTGAGAACTATTTTTGTTGACAGGCAGTATATAAGCATTGTAGGTTAGCCTCCTTCTGTGTGGCACCATCCAGATTTTTGGACTGCAACCTCCATAATCCCCAACCATCAGCCACAGTGGCTGGGGCTATGGGAGCCGCAGTCTAAAACATCTGGAGGGTGCCACAGAAGGGTGTACAAAGTAAATCAAACCATCAGGAAAGTGTGTGTCTTTATATTTTTCTTCAGACTGCTGCCCTGGCCTCCTGCCAGAACAACGTTGGAACCAGCATCATTGTGGGAGTGCCTCCTTCAGCATCTCAGATCACTTTCAACCCACTGTTGCTTTTCACAGGCCGCACCTGGAAGGGGTCTGTGTTTGGAGGTACAGTTGCATGCCTGATGCTTCCAAAAGCTATCTTAGGCCAATGTATGCAATTTAACATTTAGCATATTTGCCTGTCCTGACATCATGATGATGATGATTTTTCCATGCATGTTTTGAGATAATCACAGCACTCGAAGTGAGGAGGAAAGGGATCATGCAGGGAAGACGGTGGATCCAAAGTGTGACCATTATTTAGAGTTTTGTAGAAGCTATCAGTGGTGCTCCCTGGTGGTCAGCCTGCTTTGGAGATGGAATGCAGCACTTTGGATGGTGCCTATAAAGCTCCAAAGCTGAAGCCGTATGGAAACATGAGAGACAAGTTGCAATCGGCATTAAATGCAGAGGCATTTAAAGCTACCCAAGGATATTTAATGGGTTAATGGGTGAGATGGCCCCATGCCAGGTGCTTTTAACAGGTCTACTCTCTATCAAATATAACTTGAACTGTTAAATTGCCTTTAAATATTGTGCTTTGGAAACATTCATTGCAATTATATTTGACCATGCTCTGGGACTGTGGTGAATTGCCCAGAGAGCTTTGGCTATTGAGCAGTGTGGACAGTGAAAATAATGATGATGATAATTCTGGCAATAAATATGCCAGCATCCTATGCTGGGAAACACAGCATACAGTGCATCTTTCCCCAGCCCTCTGCTATTCTAAGTCCATCTCCACTTCACCATGTAGGTGCTTAATCCACTGAGACAGCGAAAGCAACTGTGAACAAAATGGTATTTGTCATTCATGTTCTATATACACCAGAGACCAGTTCTGGTATCATAAGTGGTCTGGAATGGAACCTGGTTTCCACTAATTTAATCTGCAGGGGAATCAAATGCCTGATTATCATTTCAGAAGTTTTACTGCCCTTATTTCAGTGCTATATCCTGAGTTATCTTTCTCTATCTGCTGGTTTTTCAGGATGGAAGAGCAAAGATGCTGTCCCTAAACTGGTTTCTGATTTCATGGGAAAGAAATTCACTTTGGATCCATTAATAACTCATACACTACCTTTTGAAAAAATCAATGAAGGATTTGATCTGCTCCGGGCAGGAAAGAGGTGATGTGCATTTTAATTTTTGGCTTTATTAGCTGCACACTGGCTGTGAAGCACATTTGTGGGGCGGCCACTAAACATGCAATCAGCCTGGCTGAACTGATGCTTCTGTGTGAACTGAGGCCCCCCTGCGGGCAGTATGTGTGCAGGAAGAGCAGTTCAGTGGTGGAACACATTCCTTGCATGTGGAGCTTCTGGGTTCAATATCTTGCATCTCCTGTTAAAGAAGGATTGGGTAGCAAGTCCTAGGAAAAAATCTCTTTTGGTGACCCTGGGAGTTAAATATCATTTGCTTTATTTGCTTATTATTTGTTTGCTTCACCTGCTTGCTTCTGGATATGAGGCACTTATGCTTCCCTGCTCATCCTCTGGGGCCTCGCCTGTGGTTTGCAACCACTGTGATAGCTTCCTTTAGGTGAAGGAAAGTCTGGAATTATCTGGAAATTGTGGGATGAAAGGTTTGTGTATTCATGCAGTTCCACTATACCACACTGCCACCTTGATGTTGTGCAGTGGAACACACAGAAAAGCAGAGAAAGAAAAACCTGAAGGGAGGGGAAAACACAGGTACTGGGGCTGATCTTAATCCCACAAAGGATCCAGACACAGAAGCCTCAGAAAAGTGGTGGGTTAAATGCTCCACACAGAGAAGTCCTATATCCTTCCATTCCCCTAAAAGCAGTGCTCAGAACAGCTAACAATAAAGACAAAATGACCACATTATAATTTAAACATTGAAAATACTCCAGTAAAATCACCTCAGTGAGAAAGAAATAACAGTACCCACTAGATTAAAAAGTGAAGCCAGCCTGGTCTCCCTTAGTAGGGAGTTCTATTGCTTAGAAGCAACCACTGAGAAAACCCTCTTTCGTGATCCCACAGATATACACCTGAGTATGGCTGGGCAGAGAAAAGGGCCTTGTCTGAGGATCTTAAAACCTGAAGAGGCTCATAAAAGGAAGGAGAAAAGGGTGGTGTTTCCAATAAGGCAGCTTCCTATGTCTATGTGGCCAGACTGCTGTCCTCAGTGGTGATGGATCAAAATATAATATTCCCACACAGCAATCATAACTCTCTGTGGGCATTTGCTTGGAGGTTCCCCATCATATTCTAAAGAGGATTGCATGTGGACCACTATCGTGTGCATAAGAAAAGCATCCATTCTCCTCCCTCTGCTCTTCAGTCTCCCAAGAACTGTTTGAATAACGTCCTGAAGTGCTAGATGTTTTGTTTGGCCATCTGGAATAGGTTTTATAAGCTCATACATGTATCATTTGTTTGTTTCAGCATTCGCACTGTCCTGACATTTTAAGATCTTGAGGAGAGAAGAATGATGAGAAAATCATCAATAGCTAAAGATCCTTCTCTACAATCTGTATAATCAACAGTGTGTTCTGGGTTTGAGGTTGTTTTTTGGGGGTGGGGAGTAGGACTGGTCTCTTCTGGTGTAGCCTTATCTTTGGGTAATGGAATGAATGGATGTAGAAAATTCTAAGGTAGGGGAAACACAACAAAAGCTACCGAAATCAAGATTCCCAAATATTAACAAGCTTGAAATAACTGACTAGGTGCAGTTGTTCTTTTCTCATCGGATAATGGCATACTATATTGGACTGACAAGTTCCAGAATGCATTGCTTTAACTGCTCAGAGAGCCTTGCCTATTGAGTAGTATATGAATAAATACATACATACATATTGGTACTTGAATTAAGATTAAGTTTGGGGCAGGCAACCTGGTACCCTCCAGATGTTTGGGACTTCAACTCCCATAAGCCCCCATAGGCATGGCCATTGATCTAGGGTTCAGGAGCTGTAGTCAAAAACAGCTGGTGGGCACCAGGTTAACTTCCCTGGTAAGATTTGGGATATATATATGAGGTTTCTCCATCTACTATTGCACAAGCTGCTCTGTGAGCTTTAATAGATGACCCTGATCTGTGTATGCAAGTGAACAGGTGTGCAAATTCAGTGTTTCATTTATGTGAATGGGGATTTCCACAAGCCATGTACACTGAGAGTGTGAATTTTAGTCCTCCTTGAGTGAATCTGGACCAGAGCAGCTGTTTTGTTTGGGTCTTTGTTAACAACCTCCACTGGGATACCAATGTGGTGTAGTGATTAGAATATTGCCCTGTGACCCAGAAGATCCAAGATGTAGAACTCAGACATGCAGCTCCGTAAGTTACTTTTGGCCAGTTACTGATTCTCAGCTTAACATACCTCAGAAGGGGGTGGTGAGGATAAAATGGTGAGAAGACGGATGGAATAAATAAAATATCTTTTAGAAAACCTATATTCACAAAGAGATGGATGCGGTATCAGATGACATCATGGCAGACACTAATTTTTGTAAATGTAAACATTAATAAACTTCGCAAAAGACAATCAACACTTGAAGTAAATGCAAGTTGCCGTTTCTGAAACCCCCATTGCAGATGACTGTAAGCACACTAGTGTCTGAGCATTAAAACGAGATCTCTCACAGTACTGACTCAGCTGCTGAGAACTTAAGGAATGCTTGTGAATGTTCAGAAGTCTAACAAACCGTCAGCCTGCAAAGACCAGGTTAAGCTATATGCAGTTGGCGCAAAGGATGAAAAGAGAATGGAATCGCCAGGACTATTGGAGTATTTATCAACTCTTGTAATGTATATTTGCATGTTGTGGCATCATGTGAATGATGTGCGAGTTGATTATATAAGCAGGACTGGGCAAGTAAGTATGTAAGAGCACAAGAGAGGGGTATTTACATAGAAAAGGTAGATCTGATATGATACCACGCCTGCAGTTTTAACGAAGCATTAAGGAAACAAGCCTATGCACATTTAGACAAGAAAATAAAAGTTCTAAACTCCCAGCTTAATAGTTGAAGAATGTTGACAGTTGTAGAATTTTCATCAGTCTAAACTTGCAGAAGATTGTGCCTTAAGAACAACAGGGAAGGAAACTCCCCATGCACTGCCATGGAAATGGAGAAAGACCAAGGGATAAACCATAAGAACTTGGTCAGTTTGAATGATTTCAAACTTTTGTTTGGAAGATGGCTATTTACGCTTCACTTCTCTCTTGCATGTTGATTTCTTCCTTTGTTTCCAAGTTGCTTTATCAGTAATTTAACAAAGCAATTGGAAAAAAGACCTTTTGATCTATCTGTCTCTCCTTTCATATAACAAGGCCTCTATAAAAACACTAAATCCCTCTATAAAGACCGCTGATAGCAACACTGTTGATTTTGCACTTGGTACTATCTGGAAAACACAGAGATGTAAAACAATTGCAAAACTCATCCTTGTCTTAATAGTCTATCATCCATCCATCCCTTTGATGTGATTACCTTTGCACAGCTAGAATTTAATACTGTAAAGCGGGGGTCCCCAACCCACAGGCTGCGGAAATTGTCTTCCACAAAACCAGTCCCTGGTACCAAAAAGGTTGGGCAAAAGTGCACTTTTGGGCAAAAGCACTTTCTTTACAGCAAAAGTGCTGCTGTAAAGAATCTAAGTTGGGATATCTTTTATCATCTGTAAAGAGCAAAGATAGATGAATCTGTCAATTTGCTTCCTCCCACAGTCAAATGTTTTAAATCTCAAGCCCTTTCTGTCTCAGATATGGCAATTCTTATCCATATGCAACAATCAGATTCAATAGGGACAGCTATCCATAGCATGGGAAGGGCCATATTACCCTTGCCTGACATGTAGCTGCTAAATAGAAGAATCTGTCAGAAAAAAAGGTGGCAACATTAATTCAGCCTTTTAAGAACTAAGCACCCAAAGTGCAGGATCTGGATAGATGAATCTGTCTCCTTTGGTTCCTCCCACGTACATCTTTTTAAAAATCACAAGCTCTTTCTATTCCGAATATGAAGAAATTCACACATTTTAGTAAATTCTTATCAAAATGAACTGAAATATAATTCCCACCCATCCTCAATGTAGAATTATTGCAAAGAAAATATCTGACCCAGTCACTTGCATATGAAAGTCTTCTGATCATTGACTAGGATGGAAATGACAGTCCTGACAGTTAGGACCCTGACGGTATTGAATGGGCTTCCATGGGAGGTGGTTGAGGCCCCATCGGTGAGGGTGTTCAAAGATAGGCTGGACATGCACATGGTGGGCATGTCATGAGCGGAGCCGGCTGGAGCCAGGGGTTAGACTAAATGGCCCCGGAGACCCCTTCTGACTCACTTTGTTTCTAAATCAACAAAAGGGTGATTGGGTTAGCAGTGCAAAACTCTTTCTCTACTTACTTCCTTTTGAGTAGGCCCAAACAATACACAATGCCTGAGATCTGTGACCAAACCCTCATCCTGGGTGGCTTCCTGCAACCCTCCAAGAAGAAACAGTGAGCAGAAAGAAGCACAAGGCAGCCTATTTCAGCTAAGGGGCTTGCTTAGCTACTGGCTTGTGAGGAGAAAGCTCAGGGGGTCTGCCAGCAGTCCTCTTGGGGCAGTAGTGGCCGGCTTGCCTCTTCCCCACTCTTCACAGGCTGGTCATGATGTTGGGCTTGTCACCCTGGAACTGCAGCTGGCCCAGAAAGAACCACACTGGCTGTGTGGGCAGAAAGAAGGTCTCCAAGCCCTAGCTCAGGCCTTGAAGCACTTCTCCAGGTCAGAGGTGGGACTCCAAATTATCCTGCGGCCATCCAGACAGCATCTAGTGGCACCCTGAATCGCCCAAGATTGTATATTTCCTCCAAAAGCTGTAGGGGATACCCAATTTGGATTAGGATGGTGGCACTCTTCCTCTTTATTTTCATAAAATGTCTGCCACTCTGAAATGTCTGCCTCACCCTAACCCTATTTATTTTTTATTAGATTTATATCCCACCTATGGAATATAAATTCAGCTATGGTGCTCCCTTGGTATAAGTGGTGACCTTGACACACAGCCAAAGGCCAGAGGTTTCTGGCCTGTACTTCTCCATATTATAGGTGTAGTTGTCCATGTGACTGAATTTTCCTTATTTTAAAAAAATATCTTCACATAAAAACCGGTCAGAGACAAGGCTTGTCCAGTTCTCCTTGTACTAGGGTTGTTTGTTTGAATGTGAAGGTAATTGTTCTTCCTGAACTAGGCACTGTATGATTTGTCATATTGTCCCACAGTCTTGGCATTTAGAACTTTCTAATGTTCTGTGTATTGATAAGTCAGCGGATCAATTATCCTGCATGGACTGGGTTGTTCCTACAGAGAATCTTTAGTCCTGCCGAAATTCCTCTGTAGGAACTGATCTCCTGGTTTGGTTTTCTGCAGCTGTCTTGAGTTGCAGGCAAAAAGGCCTGGCCTTTCTTGTCTTTTCACTTCATCAAAACTTTTTTTTTTAATCTCAGCTGCTTCAGCGCACTGATCTTCTCCGTTTATTCAATATTTGCTGTTGAAGTAGCCTCTGCAACCAAACTGAAGATCTAATTTACATGGAAGTGTACAGTGGGCTGGGTGGGTAATTTTCCTTCAACATAAAGTACTTTCACGGTTTACATTAGAGTTCTGGCCTTTATTTGGTTTTGGCTGGTTCCTGCAAATCTGATTTTAGCAAACTGCTGTAAAGGAGAGACTCCTCCTAGAGACATCTTCTTCCAACTATTCCTGTTTCCTTTCCAAAAGCTTCCCCTTTGAGAGGCCAACTCTCTCCACTTAATCCCATTTGTTGTGCAGCCCTGAAACAGGTTTTGCCACTTCAGGGAGAACTGTGGGAACAGTCTGGGAACTATTTGCAATGTAGCTAGTGGGCTAGTTTCAGCCTCTAAGTGCTACATTCCAAAGCAGGAAACATCATGTCTTAGCAAAGCAGGTCTACTTTCCTCTGAAACATCCCCAAACTGCCTTTTTAATGGTCACTCTGTAAATCCATATAAGCAGATGGCACAGTTCCTTCCGCACTGGCTGTGTGGGAGGGGGAGCCAAACTTGGTGCCCTAGCAGGGAGCTGGGACTGTAAACAAACCAACCCCAAAACACCCTCCTATGACCTCCGATATGCTCTCCGGGCGCTATAGGATTGTGCTGTTAACTGCTTTTCATAAAGCATAAAGTGGAAGCCTTCACTGAGACCGTGGGCTTGCCTGTAAAAACTGCAAGATAATGAGCAAAAGTGCTGCTGTGCTCTGGCTGCCAAAAGCCTGGCACTGCAAGGACAACTTTAGACCTAAGGTGGGGTGCTGATCCAGAAACCATGTTGTAAGTCCTGTCCCCCACTTTTAGATCTGCTAAGGTTTGCCTGTCCTGAAAGTCCTTCCTTTTGTGTTGTGTCTTAATCTGTGCACCTCTTTTGCTTCACTTTCCTGTGCCTCTAGTAAAAAGAAAAGTGGTCAAAATGGGTCAAGGGTGTTGGGTTAATAATTGCCTCATAATCTCTAGTTTGCTTTATCTGATGAGGATGATAGTGCAAAATGTGCCCCATCTATTGGTGCTGAGGGCTGGTTCCACAATCTTTTATACAGCACGTGTTTTCCACCGAGATATGATTGCCGTAAGAAGCCTGGGGCCTTAAACATTGGCAAACTAGGTCATGAGGCACTTCCGAGAACTACTGTGAAAACGCACGCGCTCACTCACTCACATCCAGGCTACCATACTTGGAGAATAGTAAAAATTAACCCTAAGCATGTTCCCCTGTACATTATTGTAGGCTAAGTGGCATATGATTAGGAGTTGACTACAATAAGGACTTTTAAATTAAGAATTAGTGCTTGGGTTTTGCATTTTTCCTCCTCCCTTCCTGTGCCTTTCCTTTTTATGTTATGTCCTTTGGATTATAACTCTGAGACAGAAAATGGCTTGATTTTAAACTTTGCAAGCTATTCTGAAGGCCATCTTCAACTGAAGGGTGGATAAAAATGCTGTAGATTAAATAAGTACACAAAATCTAGCATGCTGAGGATACTGATTATATTTAGCTGAGTCAGTTATATAGCTTTGGTGCCCTAGGAAATGGATCTCCTTGTCTTTGTGGCTGGGCTGGGTCTACTCGCATGACCACATTCCACACCCAACCTGCCATCACACACACACACACACACACACACACACACACACACACACGAGATGTGTATGAAAGCTCAGGGCTTTCTTCTGGGTTGCTCTCAAACTTTGGCTCATGCTCCCTCTGAGGCTATGACTGATCCCTTCTCTGTGTTCCAGAAAAGATTCTAGATATGACTGTTTAACTTGGCTTTTCAAATTGTTGTTCTGTGCATTATGACATTTTAAACCGTTTAAAAATTCATTATATTTTTTCTGAACTATGGGGGTGTGCCTGATTTTTTTGTACTTTAGAAAAGCAAACCAATGAAGCACTCATGACTGGGTTGCACAATGTGACAGCCCACGGTGGGTGCCAAGCCAGAGCGGGTTGTGTTGCGAAAAGCTAGACTTATCTCCACAGCACACTTGGTTGGGGCAAGCCACCCCAACAACCCATGGTTTATTCTTTTTCCTCCAGCAACCCACAATGGGTTGTTGTGTCATCAGAACCAAACAAGACCCCTTCGTGAGCTTTGGGAAGAGGCTAGCAAGGCAGCCAGAATAGTGAACCCCCTTCGGTTTATACTGCTTTAAACCCTTATACTTTTATATGATATCTTACGATGTACCCTGCTTCTCCACAAATAAGACCTAACTGGAAAATAAGCCCTAGCATGATTTTTCAGGATGCTCATAATATAAGCCCTACCCAAAAATAAGCGCCAGTTAAGATCATCAGCCAGAGAGATGCATTTAGTACGTCCCTTGCAACACAATTCGGGGTTTGAAAAGTTATGACAATGTTCCAGAAGAAGATGACATGACTGTATTTGAATAAATGTAGCTTGTTGTACATGAAAAAAGAAGACATCACTTGAAAATAAGCCCTAGTGTATCTTTTGGAGCAAAAACTAATATAAGACCTGGTCTTATTTTGGGGGAAACACGGTAATTATGTTGCTGTGAATTGCCTGGAAAGCTTCAGCTATTGGCTGGTACAGAGACCGATTCTATGTTCCCTAGACCACATCCAGAAGACCAGAGGGTGCCTTGGGTTCCCAGATCTGAGACTGGAAAAGCAGTTCTGACCTGGGACTAGAATCCATGTTCAGATCCTATTCCCATACCTTGTGCCGAAAGAACCTCACCCACTGGATCCCAAGGTAAGTGGGTGATCCAGGGGAGGAACAAGATCCATAAGGATATTGTCCAGAAACAGTTTACACAGGCATGCTAGGGTTTGCTGGGGCCATAAAAATCATTTACAGTTTATTCAGACATGCAGGAAATATATGCGGCATGCAGGTGGCCCTTGGAGGGACTACCAAGGTGGGGTCTCTACAGGAGGCCTTTATAACCTATCAGTTACCGTATTTTTCGCTCTATAAGATGCATCTGACCATAAGACGCACCTAGTTTTTAGAGGAGGGATCCATGGAAAGCTTCCTGATAATCACAGGCACATTCCCCATCACTTCCCCATGGGCTTCATTAAAAGACGGGTTGCCGTTTGAAAACACACACTGACCTGTGATTAGCAGATCTCACCTGCACCAGAGGAGGGGGCAGAGCAGGGCATGCCAAGCGCATGCCGGCCAGGTGTGGTGCAGCCGGGCCGGCAGTGTGCCGGCGGTGGTCTTCCATGCGGCGCGGCGGCAGCTGTGGCGGCAGGTCTTCCTGGGCGGTGGGGGTGAGCAGTCCGTCTCTCCGTGTGGCCGGCGGGTTAAAGCCCGTGGCTCCTCCTCCTCCTCCACACCACTCCCCCTGAGCGACACAGCTCTCACCTGTGCTGGGGGGTGGGGTGGAGCAGCGTGCACCAAGCGCATGCCGGCCAGGTGTTGCCACGTGGTGCAGGTGGGCTGGCAGCATCCTGGGCGTCGGGCACACACACATTCGCTCTATAAGATGCACAGACATTTCCCCTTACTTTTGAGGAGGGGAAAAGTGCGTCTTATAGAGCGAAAAATACGGTACATGCACCATTTGGAGGAGGTGGGGAGAATCACATAGGCAGTTTGCTAGAGGTGCATGAGAGTAAAAGAAAAAGCTTGAACAGATTAAGACAAACAATGCCAAAGGAAGAACTTTCAGGACAGTCAAATATTAGCATATCTAAGGCGTGGGACAAGACTTGCAAAATGGTTTCCAGATTAAAGAGGTGCATCTGCGGCCTACTCTATTCTTTCTGGAGCCAGGTGAAAACCTTTATCTGCCCAGTATTTTAATTGTTAACATTTAAACTTTAGTTTTTAATACTGCATTTTATCCTGTATTGCTGCTATACCTCTGTGCTAATTTGGCTGCAATTGCTGTGGTTTTGTTTGTTGTCTTACTGTTTCATGACTTGTTAGTGTTGTTTTTAACGTTTGTTAACCACAGAGAGAGCTTCCGCTATTGGGTGGGATAATAACTAACTAATAACTAATTAGCATCCCATCTTAAATCTAAAGCTGTTCTTACAATTTCAGGCTTTCAGCAGCCATAGTATGGCAGAACGTTTGCTTCTTGTGAGAGCCTTTGTGGTGCTGTTATAATGGTTAAGAACAGAAGACTGGGACTCAGGTGATCTGGGTTTTAGTTCCACTCAGCCACAGAGCTAAATGGGTGACTCGGGCCCATCACAGACTCTCAGCCCAACCTACTTCACAGGGTTGTTGTTGTGGGGATAAGATTGAGAGCAGGAAGAGGAAGAGAATGATGCCAGCCACTTCAATTCTTTAAAAAGGAAAAAAGATGGGTTATACATCTAATAAATTAGTAAAATAAATAAATTGTGCCCTGACCATTTATGTTTCCTGGCAGTACTCCACCCTCCCCCTCTCCCTGTCCAATTGTCAAAACTGGCTGCCTGGCGGATTTTCAGGGTGGGAGAAGCAGGCAGGCACAAATTGTCTGCCTGCTCCTGACCAACACCATCATCCTTTGAGTTTGCAGGCTTACTGGCATCCCATCTGGATTGTGGCCTAAACACACAAATACTTTTTCTATTGCTCTGCTTGATTATTTTATTAAACAATCAATTTAATTTGTTTTAAATAAATTTCTTTTTGCCTTCACCCACTGATATGCTTACTGTATTGAATCCTTAAAAAGGAGCATTCCTGTGTGGCAAAGACTGCCCTTCCCTTTGCCTGATATGATGAACCCTGGATTCAATTACCTCTCTGCAATTCAATTCCCGCCTTCTACTGCAAGGTCATAGTTTTCTTAATATCACAAGAACAGATTGCTTTCTCCTGAGTTTTCTAAAATGTTCTTCATGGCAGTCCAAAGTATCTCCAGTAACACAATTCTAAGCCATTCTGGTTATTTCAACTACTGGAAGGAAAGAAAGAGCAGTAGAGGAGGGGCCATGTTTCTTGGGGTGGGACTTTGGAAATATTAGACTTGGTTGGAAGACAAGTCAAATGTTTGCAAATTGCTTTCAGAGAGAACCTTTGCACATCTTGAAAGATAAGCTAGAGACACTGAAACCACACAGAGAACGAAATATATTCTAAAGTCTAGCAGCATGAGCACTGTGGGAAAAGTAAGTAGACTTTTTCTTCCAACACAGCTGATGTATGCAGAGCTGGGTAGCATCTAAAAATAAAAACAGTTTTTTTCTCTCTTTTGCATTGTTGCATTGAGGGAGGGCCGAGAATTGCTTGAGGTTCAGTATCTTTGAAATGTCCCATTGCTCAAAAAATCATTAGCAATGTGGCATAGGTTAGAGGCGGCGCTGGGATTGCTTCCCAGAAAATATGCATTCAAAGCCTCCAAGTATTGCTGGGCATATTGAACTCATTGTCTGGCTCTTTGGTCTATGGCTTTTCTCTTTTGGTAAAAGAAATGAACAGATTTACTACTTTGGAAAGCTGGAATGCCTTCTTCTAATGCTGAAGGACTCACTCTGCTTCCAGATGAGGCTTTGATTGCACAATTGCCCTATGCGCCATTCATACAATTTTTCTGGGGCTTCAGATGTCACCACCTTCCATCTGTGGTCCTCCCATGCTTTCTAACGGCTCCTTTCTGTTTCTTCGCAGAAAAGATGGGTTAAGGAAGAATAGGCAGGGTGGCTGCACAATGACTTTTGACTGCGAGAAGCAGGAGAGCTTTGCCTGAAAGAGTTCAAATGTTGCCTAACTCTCTCTGAGGCCTCATATATTTATGAATGGCCTCATATGAGCTGAGCTAAAATTGCTGCAAATGTAGTAAAAATGAGTTGGGACAGCAAATCCCAAGGTGGTTGAATACATGACACCACTTCAGACTACAAGTGTGAAAAATACTTCAAAAGTAAAAAAAAATCCTGAAGGTCTTTCTGCAGCTTGTTTTGGCTGTAAACAGCTGTACTAGGTAGCAAGCCCTAATGAAACTTCCCTGAGAACTTGTAGAATCATAGAATAGTAGAGTTGGAAGAGGCCAGGGGGGCCACTGGGTCTAATCCCCTCCTTAGTGCAGAGCACCAACTTAAATCATCTCTCTCAGATGGTTGTCCAGTTGCATCTTGAATGCCTCCAGCACTGGGGATCCCACAACCTCCCTTGCTCATGGGTTCCCTTGTTGTACTGTTCTAAGGGTCAGGAAGTTTTTCCTGATATCTAGCTGGAATCTGGTTTCCTGTAACTTGAGCCCATTATTCTGTGTCCTGCACTCTGGGATGATAGAAGAGGTCCTGGCCTTGCTCTTTGTGACAGTCTTTCAAGTACTCGTAGAGTGCTACCTTATCTCCCCTCAGTCTGCTCTTCTCAAGGCTAAACATGCCCACTTCTTCCAGTCCCTCCTCATGGGGCTTTGCTTCCAGTCCTTGGATCATCCTTGAACCCTTTCCAGCTTGTCTGCATCTTCCTTAACCTGTGGTGCCCAGATCTGGACACAGTGCTCCAGACGAGACCTAACCAGTGCTGAATAAAGGGGACTGGTTTATGGGGTTGCATATATAGAAAAAGAAGGAAAGAAAAAGGACAAACATGATACTTATATGGTAAACACAAATAGCATATATTTATAGATATTTGCAGTACATTCCACAAAAATTTCAAAACAGGGAACATTAAATACAGTGGTATCTCTCCATGAATACAATTAAAATACAATATAATTAATCAATAATAAAACTTCACACAGTCCTGGGTGCTATAAACCGGAGCTGCTAGGTCACAACTTTGGAGACAGACGAGTCTTAAGAAAACATCTGAGTGTAAGACCAATGGGGACCTAAATTGTTCCAGATGGCAGGTGCTGCAGCCCCAAATGTTCTACCACAAGTGCTTCTTAGAGGAATCTCCATAGCTTGTGGGCCTCCTTTGAAGCACTCTCTGTAATGCTCAGAAAGATAGTACAGTGATATAAGGAGTAAAATAGCCCCAAAAGTAACCTGGTCCAAAATTGTTTAGGGTTTTATATGTTAACAACCACACCTTGAACTTGCGGCAGGAGTTGATTGGCATCCGGACAATCTTGTGATCTGTTATTTTCACAGGTCATCAAATGCAAAGCAGCTGTAATCTGGGAACACAAGAAACCATTTCGCATTGTGGAAGTAGAAGTGGCCCCACCAAAAGCAAATGAAGTTCGCATTAAGGTAATGGGACAAATCGTTCTCAGTTGGCCTGCTGTAGATGATTAGCAGCTTCTGTAAACATTCTCCTCAGTGTAGCAAACGGAGCTGGTGCTTCCGTCCATGGGCGAAGCTCCCACACCTGGAATGGTGACAGGGACTGCCAAAGAGTCACTGCCATCTGATGAATTCTTTGATTCAGATTTCAGTTACATAGACATGTCTCTGCAAAGAGGGGTAGAGCTTTTTCCTTGTTGTTACATTTCCTTTAATATCCCATCAAATGTGGCTCAAATTTTGCCCATTGAAAGGGTATTCTGAGTAGCCTTGTAGCCAGCCTTCTTGTTAGGTGGGCAGCCAATTTTTAGGTGGGTTGTTTTGGGGGCAGTAGCAGCATAAGACGACTGGTGAAAATGGAAAGATTAGGCCCATGGAAGGGAAAAACAATGACCTCCCCTCTTACTCCTCCATGCAGAAAATGTGTTACCTTAAAACAAAGCCCTCAACCAAAAGGAGCCACCCCAAATCTTTTCTGAAAGGGAGGGGAAGAGGGCAAGTATCAGTTTGGATTCAGCTTTTCACAAGGGCAGATGCTTCTCCCACATCCCAAAGAGAACCCTGCTTGGATTTATGCTGATGCTGACCTGTTAAGTTCTAATAAAAGGACTATGATGCTCAGGTTTCATCTAAGACTCCTGGAGAAGGAAAAGGGGTGGGTAGAGACCTGCTCCTAACACAGGGCTGCAGGACTTGGTGGTTACCATATGGATTGAAATCAGTCCTTGGGAACATGTCTTGAAGGTACTGAAAGAGTCCAGCTTGTTTCTAGGTTATTCTTGTGCTTCATTCATGCTGCTGGCACTCACCTCTCTCTTGCTTGAGGCTCTAGATGTAACAACTATGAACCCATCAGCATGCTGCTGGTAGTCCCCTGCTGATCCCCTGATGAGGTCCTTCCACGTGCCCCTGTTGACTAAAGTGAGATGGATGGCGAATAAGAAGAGAACATGTTTCAGTTGTGCTGTCTCACCCCTGGACAATTCTTTTTCTATATCCACTTGAAAACTGATGCTGAAGAATAGGACAGAAGAAATTCCTTAATTAAGAATCAAGTTGCACCAGACTTTTCAGCCTGAATCAGTAGTCTGTACTTAGATGACTTTCGTGTTTCTTCCAGATTTTGGCTTCTGGAATTTGTCGCTCAGACGACCATGTACTCAGTGGTGCACTACAGAAAACTCTGCCCGTTATTCTTGGTCATGAAGCAGCCGGTGTAGTCGAGAGCATTGGGGAAGGAGTTACCAGTGTGAAACCAGGTATGGCAAACAAGAGAATGCCAAGCATCATTTTTATCGGCCATGACAAAATGAAACTAGGGAGGCAGAGGAATGGCACACCAGGTTCTTCTTTGGTGCTGGCAGCACCTCACTGCTGTCTTTAGAATGATGTAAATGCCAGAACATGGGACTGGTCACTAGAAAATTACATGAAAGCAAGAATTTTTGGAGTAAGAGTCAACAGCAGCATTTTTCACTTAGTGCACCTGTGCAAACTGTGTATCCCCCCCACATATACAGTACATGAAATCCAGGGAAGATTTTTCTATGAATGGAAGGATTTTTGTTAATGAAACCCCATGGGGAAGGATTTCTCCCCACCCTCTACTGCACCTACACACCCTTCAAATCTTCTGTAATGGGTTGGGGACCCTCCAGAGCAGACGGTGGCGCAAGACAGGAGTTTAGGAGGGAAGAGACAAATGCCTGCTCACCAGACATCAGATTCTGCCTTAGCAGAGGGGGCTTGACTTTAGACCATGTTCATGAAAGTGTTCTTTATCATTGTCCCACTGAATGAGGGATGAAGGGTCAGCATCAGAGCAGGATAACAGCCATAGTGCTCTGGGAGTTGCTTTCCCCCACTGCTTCCGCAAGGCCCTCGTCAGCCCCACCAAAACTGTTCCTTCCATCCTCTGCTGCAGGACATTTTGCCATTAGTTCCACTTCTGTGAGAGTTTGCTAAGCACCACCTGCACTGCATGTTGTTTTCCCCTTGGCTGTGCCAGGTGTGAGAAGCTTTAAAATGTGAAGCTGACAGTGCTAAATTAGAACTTGCTAGGGTATTTGCATGCAAGATTTACCCCCCTGATTTGCATGTTGAAACAGCAGCACAAATCCCTTGCACTTCTTTTGAACCCTGGAATGGGCCCAGTATCAGTCAAGCAGTTCCTTTTGCTAGATCATGGACAGACTTTGGGTGGAACTTATTCAGCGAGGAATCTTTCTGAGATCATTAACAGCAGTTAACAGCAGATCGTTAACAGAGCAGTACTCTGTTCAAAGTATACTTTCTAGCAGCTGACAATCCTAGGAAGAATTTAGAAATGTGTTGAGAAACACTGGCTGTGAGAATCTAAAAGCAGATATGTCTTTTGTATTATCTTTCCCACTGGTTGTTTAATATTCTGCAGTTAAAATTAGAACAAGGGGTAGCCACCCTGGGATGCTGTGAAATCTGTAGAACTGAAATGGTGGTATTTCTGAATACTATTTTTGGCACTGACAGAATCTCAGTTTTCAATTTGTGAGGAGAAAATAAAAACTCAGGTTCGTGGGAAAGATCAGCCATTCAAACCTCCACTGCTTTGTTGACATTTTATGGCCCAGGTTTCCTGCAGGTTTGACTCATGATAATACATTACCTGGTGGACTCAGCTGTGAGGTTTCACTACAACTACAGGGCATTTTACACTCTCCTGATCATGTACACAGGTACAGAGCAATTAATGACAGAATGCAGACATTACAATGAAATTCTGAGGTCAACATATACAGAACAAATAAGGAAGATCAGCCAAACATACAAGTAACAATATTTCTAATTGCAGTGTATTGACATTTCAGTTGAGTAAATTCCAGAAACTTGAACCCATCTCTGGGTCTGCTTAGATATGTAAATTCAGGCTATTAAGAAATCTTCCCTGAAATCATAAGCCCTTGTGTTACATTCCATTATCAGGAAGTCTGAGACCCTGAGTAATGCATCCCTAGGCCAGGACACATGGAGCTCTCTGGGCTAGCAAAATAGATACTTCCTGGTAATAATTCCCACAGGGATTATGTAGCTACATTGTGAATGTATATAATGTATATTAGACTGAAGGGCCTGTCTGCTCTGGCTTACAGCAAGAAGAGCAGAAGAGCGAGAGAGAAGGGAGCGGGGAAGAGTGCCATTTTAAACAGTGACTTGGCTTGGAAAGCTGATGCTTTTGAGAAAGAGTGCAGATTTGATTTTATAACACAAAAGCACACATAAGCAACGTTTTTCTGCCAGGATTTATCCAAATTTTCCCAACAACACTGACTATTTATTTTACCCATCAGAAATAAATATAAGACAGTAATGTAACATAACATAATATAATAAAATATAATTATTTTACCTATCGGGGAATAAATATAAGGCAATGGTCTTATCACTACTTAGTTGGGAGTAAGTCCCATTTGCAATCAGTGGGAGTCACTTCTGAGTAGGCTCGCGTGGCAAATCATATACAAAAGTGAAGTAATGCAAATATACAAATTAACAATAATATCTAAATTCAGCAAAAAAGAGGATAAATGTATATCAGCACCAGTAAAAGTTAATCACATGGAAGCAATGAAAGCAGAATCTGGTAGTAAAAGGGTGATAACATGATGGATAAAAAAGCCTGGGAAATTTTCTTTTAAAATTTATCTGCCTGGTGCTGAAAGAACATTGAGCAGACTCCAAAAGAGCCTCCTGGGGGAACATTGCACAAACAGGGAATATTGCCAGGAAGGCCTTCCATTATGCACTGGGGTCACGAGTAGTCTGTACAAATAGGAACAGAAAATGAAATGTAGTCTGGAGCAGTGAAGAGAGGTAAAGGACCAGCATCACTTAGCATTGTTAAACCCGATGGCCACACTAGATGATCCAGTGCTGATCCATGGTTGGGTATCCCATCAAAGTGGTAGATTCTGTTCAGGTTGACTCTATCACAACAAAAAGAAACAATCAAGTAATTGCAGACTTGTTGAACCAGGAGCCCTGCAGCTGTGTAGGGATCACACTCCCAGCATTTCCAGCCAGCTTGGCCTTTGGGTGAGTTGCCTGAGGATGATGGGAATTGTAGTCCAACCTGTCTGAAGGATGCTTGGTTGGGGAAGGCTGAATTAACACTAGGAATTACTCAGCTGAGCGTGGTCATTCTCAGAGAAATCTTTGCATTTTACTAGGACCATTTTCAGGCTATGAGCTTCTTGGAACTTTCAGACAGACTAATCTTTTTTTCTTTCTTTTTTCTTTTTTGGTAATTCCCAGGAGACAAAGTCATTCCACTTTTTTTAGCACAGTGTGGGGTGTGCAGCTGTTGCTTACACCCCAAAGGCAACATGTGCAAAAACAACAGGTGAGTTTCCATCCTTAGTTGTGGCGGCATTAAAAGCGACTTGTACTGTCATCATTCTAGTCCTTGATGAAAACCATAAACAAGGATCTGATTTCACCTTCCATCTTTTCAAGCTTTGACAAAGCCACTGGATTAATGGCTGATGGCACCTCCAGGTTCTCCTACCAAGGAAAGCCCATTTACCATTTTGTCAACACCAGCACATTCACGGAATACACTGTGGTTCCTGAGTATTCAGTGGCCAAAATTGATCCTGCCGCTCCTCCTGAAAAAGTGTGCCTGATTGGCTGTGGGTTTTCTACTGGCTACGGTGCTGCCATAAATTCTGCAAAGGTATGGTTTAGCACATATGCAGCTGACCTGCTGCCTTGGGGATTGGTGGGATGTTATGCATCTAAGACTTACCACTTACGAAATTGTATTGGGAAACATTTCTTGGGATAATGTGTTCTCCAGAATATTTTGTTTGATTATTTGATTTCCATGACTGTTCCAGAAGGGACAGTTTACAGCTTCTAGCACACATACACAAAATTGTGCCAGGTACAGGTACATTATGTGCTGTACAACATGGCTTGGCTTGGCTTGGCTTTCTTTTTTGAGGTACAATGCAAATCGATATGGCTGACTGTAACCCATCAAACTTCAAGGATTGTGGGTATCCTATAAAGGATGGAAACAGCATGGATCTGAAGGTCATGCCTGTACTTCTCCCACCCTACAAAAGACTTAGATGACTGATTGGGTCATGTAAGTCCTTTGCCCTCTCTTGCAAGGTGGACAGGTTTGGAATCATATCCTAGAGAAGCTTCCTTGCTCCCCTCCTTTTTCTCCCAATGATGGCTCTGACTTTGGCCTTCTGCTTTCAGAGCTGCAGCTGGAATTATTCTTTCAGCACCAGCTGCAAGGGTGGAGGAAAGGCACCTGGAACTCAGAGTCCCAGCTCTAAGTGTGGAGCATGTTTCCAAGGTCAGAGCTGAAATAACAAATTTTCCTATGGCCATCTCGACTGTGTCTGTAGGCCATAGGATTGCACACTTAGTGGAAAACCCTATGCATGCTTAGGCAGAAAAAGGGCCTACAGTTTCCAGCAATGGGACTTGTAGACCCTTTTTCTGCCTCAACTTGCATAGGCATACACCCTTAATTAGTTTACATATTCATAACATACTTCCTGATCATAAGAATTCCGAAGGTTCAGCCAGTGACATAAAACCAGTGCAAAGCCCAGATAAAATAGTCAAAGGCATCAATAGTTACTTAAACTGAAAGAGAGATGCACATTTTGTAAGACTGTTGCTGTGTTGTTGTTAGTCGCGAAGTCATGTCCGACCCATTGCGACCCTATGGACAACATTCCTCCAGGCCTTGCTGTCCTCCACCATCCCCCGGAGTCCACTTAAGCTCACACCAACTGCTTCAGTGACTCCATCTAGCCACCTCATTCTCTGCCGTCCCCTTCTTCTTTTGCCATCTATTGTTCCCAGCATTAGACTCTTCTCCAGAGAGTCCTTCCTTCTCATTAGGTGGCCAAAGTATTTGAGTTTCATCTTCAGTATCTGGCCTTCTAAAGAGCAGTCAGGGTTGATCTCCTCTAGGACTGACCGGTTTGATCGCCTTGCAGTCCAAGGGACTCGCAGGAGTGTCCTCCAGCACCACAATCCAAAGGCCTCAATCCTTTAGCACTCAGCCTTCCTCATGGTCCAGCTTTCACAGCTATACATTGCAACTGGGAAAACCATAGCCTTGACTATACACACTTTTGTTGGCAGGGTGATGTCTCTGCTTTTTAGAATGCTGTCTAGATTTGCCATAGCTTTCCTCCCAGGAGCAAGCGTTTCTTAATTTCTTGGCTGCAGTCCCCGTCTGCAGTGATCTTGGAGCCCAGGAAAATAAAATCTGTCACTACCTCCATTTCTCCCCATCTATTTGCCAAGAAGTGATAGGACTGGATGCCATGATCTTAGTTTCTCCAAAACAATGTTTATTATTGTTATCTGATGTAGGTAGAACCTGGTTCTTCCTGTGCCATCTTTGGCCTGGGAGGAGTCGGCCTCTCTGTGATCATGGGCTGTAAAGCCGCTGGAGCTTCCCGCATCATCGGGGTTGACATCAACAAGGACAAATTCCCCAAGGCTAGAGAGCTGGGAGCCACGGACTGCATCAATCCTCTGGATTTCAAGAAGCCCATCAATGAAGTGCTCTTTGACATGACAGATGGAGAAGGCGTGGACTATTCATTCGAAGTGATTGGGCGCACAGACACCATGGTATGCGCATGAAGATAACATTGTAGTGGCAGATGTGGAAAAGGATGTGTTGGATGGAGGGGGAATAACATTTCTTTTACTGAAGATCAGTCAGTCCTTCTCCAGTACGTACTTTTCTCCAGGTTCTGTTCCAATTAGTTGTGGCAGCAGGAACTTTGGGGCACTTGAGAGAGCAGAAGGTCAGGAATTTTGGCTCTAGACATGGAGTTTGGCCACCTAACTCTCTGTGCCCTCAGGACAATCTGCAAGCAGAGGAAATGATTGGCTTCATCTGTGCTGCTCTGTAATCCCACCAGTTAGCCTATTTGTTGAGTTATTAACATTATATGCTGCCTTATCTGCTAAACAACCACCAAGCCTAGCAGGAGTTCATTTCATCTAGGGAAACAATAAGGTCCCATTGCACTCCAGAGAGCAGCTGGCTTTGTTGTGTGGCGCCTTTATCTCATTTATTTATTTTATTACTTAAGTAATTACTTCATATCCAAAATTTTTCTGGAGGGCCTTCCAACTGTTTGGAGAGCTGGAGGTGAGGTCATGGACACAAGCTGCTGCAGGAGGAAGAATGGCTGGGATATGCATTTCCTCAAATTAAGTTCTCATGTCTATTGTCGCTCTAGGCGGAGAGCTAACTTGTTGCCCAGAAAAAGCAACATGAGCCCAGACGGCTTTCTTAAGACACCCTAAAGTGCCCTACCTCTGCCTCTACCCCTTCCACTTTTTGATTTTAATGATCCCATTTTTAAAACTGGCAGCTGGATCACTATGAAATGCACTTCTGCTGTTGGAAGCTGTGGGTCAGTCAGTGTTTTGGGGAATCTCACCCCACCTCTGCCTTGTACTGATTCTTTTGGAAACCTGGTCGTTTGGCATGCCCAGCAGGCATTTTCAGATGATACCCAGGGGATGTTGTCAAATTACCAGATGGGCCCACAGCCCAGAACTGTTGCTGTAGGATTTGGTGTATTTTTTTGGTTTATTGCTATCCATATACAGCAAAACTGTAAGAGGCTTATGACTCTTCATAGTGACATGGGTCAGGATGGACATGGCAAATATTCTTCTTGGCTCGATTTGAGTGGGTGACTTTGCATTTTCTTAGGCTGCTGCCTTAGCCTCCTGCCAGATGAACTTCGGAACCAGCGTGTTTGTGGGAGTGCCTCCCACGGCATCTCAGCTTACCATTTCCTCAGACCTTTTCTTCTCAGGCCGCACTTGCAAAGGATCTGTATTTGGAGGTACGGCTTTATCCTGATTGGCCACAGATGCATTCAGTGTATTTATTTTGGTTTTGCTTATGGGAAACCCATTGCAATCAAATCCCACAGAGTATTGTTCCCATTGAAATAAGTTGCTGAAAACTCCCTCAACGTCTAATTCCAAATGTGAATTTGGAACATGTTTCAGTTCTATTTCGGGTTCCAAAATGTTGGCACAATATCAATTTGTCAGAAACATAAAGCCAAAACAAGCATGGTGTTGGAGACAGTATGGTATCAGATTCCCCTGACAGTGTTTAAAAACTAAAAGCAGCTGCAGGGAGGCAGAAAACGTGGATCAAAGAAGTCTTTAACCCAGCCTCTCTAACCTGGTACCTTCTGGATTTGTTGGCCCATCATACTTAAGCAATGTGACCAGATGTGCAAAGCAACATATCCAGAGGGCATCAGGTTGGGGAAGGCAGGATTAAACCTTTCTCATGCCCTGTTTTTCTAGGACTGTTGGAGGCAGCCTTATCCTAAATCAGAAACGCTTCAGGGTTCAGGCTTGAGTGGTGGGTTTTTAAATCAAACCTAAAAATGGTGGTGTTTGAACCTGAGCTTGTACATGCAAAGCATGTGTTGCAACATTAAGCGATGCTCCTCTGTGTTCCGTTAGGCTCACAGCAGGAACATAAAGGCAGCTGCCTATGGTGTCTCCCAACCACACATGCACAGTCCTCATTATTTATCGATATATTGCATGTTTATACTGCCTCTGGGCTCTCTGGGGCCTCAGTGGCAGGTCTGAGACCACCTCCATCAGCTCAGGCAGGGAGTCTCTTGGGCAGAGAGGTGGGTGGTACAGCAACAGAATCCCTAATCTGTCTTGGGTGCCCAGTACAAGATGCAAACCCTCCAAGACCAGCACTTGAGTGAGCAGAAAGCCTAGACAGGGAGATGGAGTCCTTATGGACCACGGCCACCCCCTTCCCTGACCCTCGAGGCGCTGCTAGTGCTGCAATGACAGTACTAGGAGAGAATAAGCCTGCCCACTTCCCCCACCCAGGTCTCAGTCATGCAAGCCAGGCCAGCCCCTCATCCACAATCAAGTCATGGATGAAAGAGATCTTGTTTTGAGCTGACCTTCCATTCAGCAGCAAAAGCACCGGGCCCAAGGCCAGCCTGGTAAGGCTGCCAGGCAACGTCCAGCTGGGGGCAAGACCAGGGGAGGGGACAGCTGGAAGACATCTAAGACATCTTCTCCTTTGCTGCCCTGTCAAACCCCCAAAGCCATATCTCCCCCTACCCATAACTATACTAATAGGTACATCCCCATGCCCCCAACACAGCCCAGAATTATAGAATAAAACCATTATTTTTTAAAAAAAATTAAAAATCTGCTATACATAAACCAGATGCATCCCTGTACATATTTCCCTAGTGCCATCCAGAAACATAAGGCTTTATGAAGAACAGGCATGATGAACCTCCAATCCTTTTCTCAGTTTAAGGAAAGGAATCTGACAGACTAGGATTCTGTCACCCCACACTTTCCCATTGGGAAAAGTGAGAGAAGCCTTGGGGAACTGCTGCTTCCAAGCCCTCCAGGCACCCTGAGACAGAGTTTCCCAGCTGAGCTAACTTCATTTCCCCTTTTGCCCTTTGAGGATGGGGCTTCAGGGAAAGGGGCATGTCCAGATCTTGGTGGGCTGGATAGGAAGGTCTGGCAGGCATAAAGTGTCCCATTGCTGGCAGGGAAAAGTCCTGTCATCACTAGATTAATGTAAAGTAGTATTCTCTCAACTGGACCCCAAGTCTCTCCTTTCAGGGCCAGTGTGTCTCTTCCAATGTGCAGCCTAATGGCGTTGCTAAGATGGATTCAAGCCAGAAAATCTGGGCAACTGGCAGAACTTTCACCATTGTATCTGAGTGCTTATGACCCTAACCTGCTCTTTCCTATTTTCAGGCTGGAAAAGCAAAGAATCTGTCCCTAGGTTGGTTTCAGATTTCATGGCAGGAAAGTTCAATCTAGATCCATTAATTACTCACACTTTGCCTTTTGATAAAATCAATGAAGGCTTTGAACTGCTCCACTCAGGGAAAAGGTAAACCCTTTCTTCTTTCTGAATAACTATTGTACCCCCAGCAAAAAGTAACCATGTGACAAACTACATATTATGTTAATTATACACAGTGGCTCCATTCACACAACATGACAATCTGTGGTTACCATGGTTTATGGTGTTTTCTAACCATGATCTACCTGAGAAATAATTGAGAGGTTTCTACTTATTGTGCTTTCATCGTACCCACTCATTCCTCTCAGCCCCTGATGATGGAATTCAGTCCCAAGGTGCATTGCTCCCTGCCTATGTCACTTGCCTTCCAGCTTGCTCAGAGCAATGATTATTATGTTCATGAAGTATTTCCTTGATTTTTCTGTTTGTAATACATGTGCTTTTGTAGTAAGTGTCTAATCTATAAACAAAACTGAACTTGCTTTTCACTATTTTTTAAAATCGGCTTTCTAATATTACCAAATCCTTCTACAAAGGATCAGGCATCCCCCTCCTCCCCCACAAGAACTACGTACTAGGAATGCTAATCTATTAACTTCCTTGGCTACAGTTGACCTGATTTCAGTTGCATCTGGTGACAGTGCAAATCTTAGTGATACAAGTTAATTGATGGGTCATCCAAACATGAATAATTCTCTTTCTATCAATGAGTGATTTAGTAAGAGCGGTGGCTCCTTTTCACATCCTGAAAGATATGTGAATGCATTAATTGATGAATATATGATTAATTAGTCAACTGATGCATTTCTGTGTTTTTGGTTCGCCAAGTCTACTGGGAAATAGGTGAACAGAGATCATTCTCCTTACACATCCATTTCCCAGAAAAATCTGCTCCCACCAGCCTGCCAGATACATGTTTAGCAGAGGAAGAAGAGGGAGACTTATTACTATTCAAGAACTATCACAAGCTATTAGAAAATTTAAAAAAGATAAAGTACTTGGTCCCAGTGGATTTACTGCTATGTATTACAAGTGTTTAGAGGAAAAATTAATATTACCACTTCAACATTAAATAAGAGAAACTATTACAGACAACATGACAGGAAGCTTATGTAACATTGATACATAAAGAAGATAATGATCTCACATTACCACATTCTTACCCACCTATTTCATTATTAAATGTGGATTACAAACCTTTTACTTCATTAATGGCAGAGAGACTAAGAAAATGTATAGAAAAACAGATGCATACAGACCAGACTGAATTTGTCCCAAAAAGATTTATGAAATACAACGTATGTTTTGTGATTGATGCAACTGAATTGGTCAAGAAGAAGACAAAAACTGCACTTATATTTTAGATGCATGGAAAGTTTTTGATAACATGTCTTGGCCATTCTTAATGAAAACTGTTGAATACTTAGAGTGTGACTCAAGCTTTATGAATTGGATTCAAGCAATTTATACTAAACAACATGCTAAGATTTTAATTAATGGCACATTAACTGATAGTTTTCAAATGAAGAAGGGAATATGCCAAGGATACCCTTCTTGCATCTTTTATTTATTCTTGTACTGGAAATTTTAGCAAAAAAAATAAGACAAGATCCACAAATTAAAGGCTTAAAAGCAGATGGAGAAGAATATAAAATGATGACATAGTCTGGGCCATTCTAAATCCACATCAGTCTATATAGTATATAGTAGAGCAAATTGAAAAACCTGGACTTTATTTAGACTATAAAATTAATAAGGAAAAAACCCAAAAGTTATAGATACCTGTTTAGCAAGGAGTGGAGAGCTAACTCTGCTTTGAAACAGTACACAGAGGAAGTGTTTTTCTTGCAGCCCATATTCCAGCAGCACTGCCTGAGCTAGCAAAGAGGCACTTGAGCAGAGCTCTCCCACCTCCCAACAGAACAGGGGTCCTAGTTGCCCACTGGTCAGCACACTCAGTGTAGCAGGAGTCAAAGCATGTGCATGCCTGGGAGCAGGGCACACACAGAAGGCACATGGGCAGTCTCTGGGGACTGCATGCGGCCCACGGCCCACATGTTGCCAACCCCTGAATAGATCAATTAAAACCTTCCGTCCTCTAATCCCAGCCATGATTAATTTGAGGCTTTATGCAGTCCTGCTTATAAAAGTCCTCAGAGTACAAGGAGGCTGGGCACTGATATGTATGAAACAAAGATATTTATACTGTTTATCTTAGAGTTAAACTCCTGACTATGTTCCAGGAAAAGTTATACAGTTTATACAAATGGAAGGAATAATTAAATACATTTTAAATCCCATGGATTTCAGTGGGTGATGTCTTTAACTCATCTACTGAAATAAATAGCATTTTAGAAGTACTTGGTTTTGACAGAAGCTGCCGTTCTTTTCTGTTCCCTTTGTTTTCACTTTCAAATTTCCAGCAAGGGCTTAAAATCTGAAATATTAACCTAAGGATTAAAACATGGGTTTGGAGACTTAGTCATACTTTACACAGACCCACTGAAATCAGTAGAACTTTAGTCAGTCATCCCCTTGAAGTATGACTAAGTCTAGATCTTGGATAAGCAGAAGAGAATTCATCATCTTACATTTAGGTTTTCTTCTGTTTCAGCATCCGCACTGTTCTGATATTCTAAAGTCCCGGAGACAAGGAGAAGTGCAAGGCAATGATGTCTTGGCAGCTGAGTTCCATCAAATCAATTACAAGTGGTACAATCAATCACCTGGAGAAATTATTGCATTCTGCTGTGTTACCCCGATGCTGCTTTATTGTATCTTACATTGATTCCACAACAATGACTTTCTTTGCTGTGAAAAAGAAACATGAATACAACATCAACTTGTCTCGTGATTGAAGAGGTGGCAACAGTTATGAGGAGGGTGGGGCATTTCGAACATGGAAGCGCTGGATGGTGAGGGGCATTGGGCTGCAGACCTATGGAGCATGTGGGCTGGGTAATCAAGCACATTGAAGGGCATTTGATGTGCTGGTGTGGATGATGGGAGTCTTTTGCCTCTGGAGGGCACTAGGATGGGCAAGGCTGGTTGAAATCACCAAACAAAAAAGGGGGTGTGAAAGAAAAACAATATATTAAGTTTTCTTGAGGAGGCAATAAGTATTTCCTGTTTTTTTAATTAAGAAATTAATTAAAATTAAGAAAACAACTGTAATTTTTCAGTTTTAGCTTTATATATTTTGATATGAAACACTGGCAGGTTTAAAACTAAAAGCTGTTTCAGCAGCCTTATATTACCTACATTTTTGTTTAATTCTGCAACTTTAAATATTTAAATAAAAGGAAGAACTATCACTGATTATTAAAAGGCCAGAAATAACTTCAGTGAGGCCTACAGGAAATGTGTTTCAATGCTCTTTAATTTGTATCAGACTCTTCTTCTTGTTAGTTGCAAAGCTGTGCCTGACCCATCGCGACCCGATGGACAACACTCCTCCAGGCCTTCCTGTCCTCCACCATCCCTTGGAGTCCACCCAAGCTCACACCTACTGCCTCAGTGACTCCATCCAGCCACCTCATTCTCTGCCATCCCTTCTTCTTTTGCTGTCAATTGTTCCCAACATTAGGGTCTTCTCCAGTGAGTCCTTCCTTCTCGTTAGGTGGCCAAAGTATTTGAGTTTCATCTTCACTATCTGGCCTTCTAAAGAGCAGTCAGGGTTGATTTCCTTTAAGATTGACTGGTTTGATCTCTTTGCAGACTCTCCCGTATGACAATCATGATAAGAATATAATAACAATTATTTTCTCAATAGCTGCCTTTGAGCAGCATCCATCAAGAGAATGAGGCTACACGCAGTACCAACAGTGCCCCACGTTGCAGCCCATTCAACAGCCTTCTTCAGGCATTCACCATCTGATCTACCTGCCACTGGTGGACAACTGCCAAGAGACTGTCTCTGGAGAAAAGTGGTCCTCAACAGAAAAAAGTGCCCCACATGAGAGAGCATTTCTAACAGAGCCGTTGAGCTTCTTTCAGCCTGAATATTGTTTCAGAGAAGCTGGGAGTGACAGTGCATTTCAGTGGTGATAGGGCAAATGATGCAGGGCCAAACATAAATTTGGCATATTTTAGCTTAATGCTAGTACTTAAGCTTAGGAGGGACATTTCAGACATTTAAATGCAGGAGTGGAAGCATGAAAAAGCCAGGAAACAACCCAATGTTTAGATGGAGGAAAGAGAGTAGAGCTGGGGAGAGACTGGGACCTTCCTGGAACCCACAGAGGGTTGGATTTTATCCTACAGGCCTGAGGTCTGTAGGATAATTTAATTCCTCCTAATTTAAAAGGAGGAAAGGATTTGTAAGCCATTTCTTTTACAAATGCACATGAAAGATGACGCTTACTCAGTGGGATTTATTTCAAAGAGTACCTCTAGGATATTTTGATGCAGGCCTTCCAAGTCTATCCTTTTCGGGGGCTGATTTTATTTTATTTACTTGGAGATCCAAAGTGCCCTGCTTTGTGCCAGCAAAGAGAGAGCTGGTCTGGAATCACAAAGACTGCTGCAAATTTACCGCATAATCATTTGTGACAAAGCTCTGTTGCCAGTTGGCTCCAGATGCTGCAGTGGAACAACCAGGGAATTTCTAGCACTATTTGATTGACTCTGCTGTGGCAACAGCAGCATTGTAAACGTGGCACAGTGATGCCAGGCAAGCTCACAAGGCGGCATGGAAGGGATGAAGGTTGGTTGTACATCCACAGGCATTTGGGGCATAGGACTGTTAGGAGGTCTCCTGGATCAGGCTGCAAGATCCATCAGTTTCACCAGCTTGTTTATCCCAGTGGCAGGTGGGTGCCTCCAGGAAGCCTTTAAGCAGGGTTTGATGGCCATTAGACCACCTGACATAGTGGAATATTGTCCCCAAACATGTCAGTTCCTTTTAAGCATCATATCTTAATGCCACCAATAGACCTATTCCCCATCCATCTGTTCAGTCCTCTTTTAAAGCCATCTAAGATGGTGGCCATCACCCCAACCTCTGGCAGAAAGCTTTACACGAACAATTTACCTTAGCAGTTGAGCGTACACTTTGCCATGTTCAGCTTCAGCCTCTTAACTGACTTGAAAAATATGATACTGCTTTGCTGTGTGGAACTTACCATTCAGGAATTTCAGTTCAGATTGCAAACTATTTCTTTTGGATATCTCAAGCCAAATATGTAACAACGTTAAAACATGTATCACCTTTCCTCAAGGCAAAAGTTCTCTTTTACAATAATAAGTTCTCAATTTAGAATAGTAAAAAGAATGTATTTTCCCTTTTCTTGTCTGGGGAAACATAGATTCTGTTGATTAAAGCTGATTTAAAAAACTGTGGGTATATGTGTGGTTGGTATTTAAAGTATATTGACTAAGCAAATATCATGTTTGATAGCTTCATTTGCAGCTACAGAGTAGCCTCCAAGTCTTACAGCAAAATTATTTCATAAAAACATAGTTAAGAGAAGCCAGTTTCTACTCCATGCTTCGCCCCAAAAACCTGCTTTGCAAGGAGGTGCTTGGGAGCAGAAAATGTTAGGTACCTCTCCTGTTTCTCCTCTCTCAATCACCTCCTGAATGGTTCTTTTAAAGAAAAAATGTTTTAAACTGTCACTAGTTTGCCATTTTGCTTGTGTGTGACATATAAGGTTGCCTTTTTCCTTCCTAGACATAGGTTAAGTACTAGCAGAATACTTCAGTGTAGTTCTCTGCATTAAGCACACTCCATCTTAAAGATCTTAGAAGGAAAATGCAGAAACAAATTCCCAAAGTAAGACGTTAACTTGCTTTCTAAGTATATAAATACACATCATGGTGGGGGTGAGCACGTGCTTCTTGCATGTGATCATTCGGCTCACCACAAGCACAGTGTGAAACTTCTTTTTACCTTCCATTTCTCCACCCCAAGAAGTGCCTGCCAAGGAAGTGGAGTAGAAGCAGGGAGTCTTGGAGATGTGGCACCATCACATCACACATTTTATATTACTGCTGGGGAGAAAGAGGCAAGATGTGGGGTGGATGTTTCGGGGGACCACCATACGACTTCCAAGCATGGTTTGCAGGTTAACTATAAGTCATGGATTTTGAGGCTGCACAGAAGCAAGCATGCTGCCCCTCATATTCTGCTAAGAGAATGGGGTTGTTTGGCATAACACATCGCCCTGAAATCTGGGTTGACAAAAGGGAAACAACCCAGAGCTCAAGGTTTAGCCATCATGCCAAACAACCCAATGAAAAGTGGAAGTGGAGAATGGGTCGGAGGCACTGCATAGCATTGGCCAATCTTACCTTAATGAATTAAATCTAACTAAATCATGAGTTAACCCCTGAGTGAACTGGGTCACAGTGCCTATTTAATTTCAAGCATCTAGGAAATACCAGTCTGTTAACCTCACAAAAGCCATTCCTAATAATCTTAGAGTGCCCAAGCGAGAGAATTTAACAGCCCTAGTGACATGTTCATCTGTGTAGAAGAAATAAATGCACAGACAGGCATGATCTGTAATCCCCCCGAACAGCATGCATTCAAGGCCCTAGCATTCCCTGAACCTATGTGCATACATCTGAATCCACGCAGGCTTTTGCTTGCATGGTTCATCTTTGGATCCATGGAGGGCAGAAGACAACATGTCTAAAAGCCTGTATTCGTTCGGGCATCTCCATGTATGGCCTTCACACACAGGATTCTCCAATGTGAGGGGAAAGGGATGCTTCCAGGTATTCTCCCTGCTCCTTTCAAAGAATGTTACAGCAGGTGGTCCAATACTGTCTTCAATTTTAACCTGCTGAAGAGGAACACATGGAGAAGCTCCATAACAGCTTTTGACTGGAAGTGTTAGCCCCCTGCTTGGAAGCACCCAAGAATCAGGGAGATTAAAACATTCTATTTATTCTTGCTGTTATTGTTACTGTATAACTTGCTTAGAGAGTCATCTCCGGCTAAAATATAACATATACTGATCATCTTTCGTTCTGAGTGTTGTATGATTTTTCTTAAATCCGTAGGCGTTATAAAAAAACAGATCTGGCAAAGGGGAAAAGCCTGCAGTGCAAGCCTGTATAAAAGATTTAACCGCATCTGTCACCCTCAGACTCTTGCATCACGTTTTCAGGACATTTGTACGCTGCGTTTCCAAAAAGCTTTGGCTGCTAGTGGCTGCCAAGCTAAGTGATTGACTACAATTCCCAGAGTTCTCCGCGGCACGTCTACGGCGGCCAAGAGTCCGGGTTAGCAAAGTAACCCTATTTAGCTACGAAAGAATTCCGGGATTTTGGGTCTTACGTTGTTTAACTTTCGCCAAGCAGGAATCGGGGCGATCTCCAAAGGGAAGGCAGAGAGATTGCCGTGCGCAAGCTAGTTTGCAATAATGGACACTTCTGGGAAAGTAAGGAGAATGTAGCTTCTTTTTCATGTAAAAGGAGTCTAAAATCGGATTCTTTAAGCCTGCGGTTCCCTCACCCTGCCTCCACTGCAATGGCACTTGCTCCACGCAGAAGCAAGCGCCTCTAAGCTAAAATGGGCTCATTGCTGATGCTGGGAAAATTCAGATAAATCCTGGCTGAAAAGTGTTGCTTATATGCCTTTGTTTTATAAAATGTTTGCACCCCTTTCTCAGGAAGCACCCAAAATTCCAAGCAACGTTACTGTTTAGCATTTTCTCTTAATTTAAGAAGTGAGACCTGATAGCTTCTCCAAGAAGCTGTCAGGGCTGTTGTTTTTGCTGATCAGCAAGGGCTGATAAGGCAGTCCAGGTTAACAGCATTGCAGTCACCCTCATTTGCATGCCAAGACCCACAGTAATCCCTGTGCCTCGGTGTTCATTATGTTAATATCAAATGCCATTGTATTGAGCCCTTTCTGCAGACCTCTCACCTTCTTCTGACTGTATTCCCCTTATTTCATCATCAACTGCCCAGCTGCTGGGCCCATGTGACTCAGAATCTATAAAACACTCTGTATATGTTCTAGAATTGGCGGTGGAGACCACTACCTGGTAGCATGCTGTCGTAAGTAACTGCAGGGACCCTGGCTGATCTCACCAGTAAAAACGCTGGGGTTCAAGGCAATTAGTTTTCCCTGCGGGTCCTGCTATTTATTCCTGCCATTGGTAAAGAGACTCTGACACCGAGTAAGCATGTTTAGCTTGTGCTGCACAGTTCCTGATCATGAAGGCCTATGGAGGTCAGAAGGAACCACGGATCTGATTTTCACACATGAAAGGAAAGATTAGCTACTTTAAAATAGTTTACTTTAAGCCAACTCCCTTTACATGTATGTGCAATTAAGGCTGCCAAATCTATACTTATCCTGAGAAGTAAGTTCCATTGAAGGCATAAGAAGAGCCCTGCTGGAGCAGACCAAGGTGCATCTGGTCCAGCATTTGTTCACCTGGTGGCCAGCCTGCGCCCGGGGAAACAGGCTAGCGAGTACTAAGCTCAATTAGGGTAAGCAGGTGCTCCCTAGCGACCGGAGTTTACGGGCAGACAGCCTCTGATGCTGGACTAGTAACCATAGATAGCCTTATCCTTGATTGATTTGTCCAGTCCAAATCCTGTGGGGTTTTATCCCAACAGTTGTCGTGCTACACAACTGGGTACAGAATTGCAGATTCTCCTTGCTCTAAAATAAATAAGTAAAGGCTGGAAAACACCAGAAAGGCTCTGGAGGATGGTGACATTGTCAAAAGGCCCTGTAAAGATCCACAAGTGAGGATCATGAATGCACAATAAACACTCATGTAGGGAAGCTCGTAAAAGACTAGCATTTTAATGTTTTGGCTGCACTGTTTTTGCTCTAAGCCCCATCACTGCTTGAATGTAGTCCCCAAAAACTTCTCCAAATGGTCTGCCACCCTGAGGTTGACACGGTTTTGCATCATGTTATACATGCTTCTGTGGAATTAAGTCCCAGTGGATGAAGAGGAGCTTGCTTCTGAGTCGTGTCGGACTGCACTATGAGTCACTGATTCAACCCCTTTGACATAAACACCTTGGCACTAGAGTGTCTAGGTGGTCATTGGGTTTTCGGGGTCATAGCTGCAACCTCAGAAACTGGCCATGATATGAGGTATCCTGAGGGCGCCTCAGCCCTATTCTTTCTTGCTCTAAAGTGCCACAGTGAGACAGCTCATATCTGGTTCACAAGGCAGGAGGAGCCCAGAGTTAGCTTTTGCCTCTGTGCTTCTCCTGCCCTGCCTCGCTGCACCCATAATCTTTCAAGTTCAGAGCTTTTGGGTATCCTGCTTGAATTGCAGCCTTTTGTTTAGATTGGAAATGGCTTCAAGAAGGTCAGTGTTGTGAGGATGCAATTGTCCAAGGACACCGGCCGCCCCTCTTGTAACACATCGCTCCACTAGTGTCTCGTCATAGCCTGGTGGAACAGCACATGTGTTCCATGCAGAAGCTCTCGCGGCAATATTTTTGCTTCAGAGCTCCCTCTTTATTTTTTCAATGCTCAGTAAAGAATGATCTGTTATCCCTTTCACTCCTTGTGTAGTGAGATTCCAGGTGTACTGCGACTTGTAACTCTACACTGCCTCAAGAGATCTGTGGTCGTGCACAGCAGTTCAGAGGATTGTATTGCACATCTTGTCCATTTGTATTTGTTTTGGCAGATTATAAAATGCAAGGCTGCTGTTGCCTGGGAAGTAGGCAAACCCCTTTCCATTGAGGAGGTCGAAGTGGCTCCACCAAAGTGTCATGAAGTTCGTGTGAAGGTAGATATAGAACCTTATAATACATGTGCCTACACCTTTCTCTGTGATGTTGGTGTAACTCTTTGTTGTTTCTCACAGATAATAGCCACGGGCATATGTGGGACAGATGACCATGTCCTGACAGGTTCTTTCCCTAAAGTAGAATATCCTGTTATTCCTGGCCATGAAGGAGCTGGAATTGTAGAGAGCGTTGGTGAGGGAGTGACTTGTGTGAAACCAGGTATGCAGAAGATGGCAGCTAGCATTTTAAGTGTTCTAAAGCTTGACAAGCTTCAAAAGTTCACAAGAATTCAGCTTCAGTGGACAATGATTGCATGAGTTATTAAATAACAAAACTGAATTTTATATGTTTTCTACTTTAATGTATTTTGCTACTCATTTAGAGTTTTTAAAATATAAAATATATATGTTGAGTGGTATATAAATCTAATGTCATCGTCATCATAGGACAATGCACAATTACAGTATGTTTCTGCTTATATAGGAATTTTTCTGCCCCAGCACCTGGGTTGCATTTCACTTAATCCCAGATGAACCCAGTACTAAGATTTGATTTTTTTTCTGAAAGCATAGCTGCTTATTCTTCTCTGAACTGTGTCATCTTTAAATACACACACATTTTAAATATGGAGTAATTATGGAACGCCTTCAAGCTATTGGGCAGTATAAAAATGTAATGTGCGTGTGTGTGTGCGTGTGCAAACACACATGTGAAATTGAGAGATAGGGTATGGGCTTGTGCAATGTTAGCTTAAAGCTGGTCTCCCTAACCTGGTGCCCTCCAGATGCTTTGGAAGACAACCACCATCCCCTGCTAGTATGGCCTGTAGACAGGGATGATGGGATTTGTAATCTGAAATCATGTGAAGGGCGAGAAGTTGGGGAAGGCTGGTTTAAGGGAACCTGGTAGTCTAGCCAACTCTCCAATATTCTATTTTTCTATATGAAGTTTTCTACACACAGAAAAGAATGCTGAGCCATGAATTTTGTGTATGGAGGGATAACATGTCCAAGGAAAAGCTTGGGCTGAATGTATCTCCTTGACACATTTGTTATTTTAGAGGTGGAGGGATTCAAACTGATAAGCTATAGGTGCTGAATCTCTTCCAGCCCAATGGCCAAATTCCATTTTGGAAAAGTTCTTCAGTTCTGTGTCCCAACAGTGAAGGGAACAAAAGGGGCAGGACCAAAATACCTCCATATTTGAGTCTAAAACTCCTGCAGCCAGGTTGTGGCACCATTGGTTGCTGTGTCAATGCAGACAGTAGGCCTATTCAGGCTTATTTCTATGTTACCAAATACTTGTGTTATTTTTATAGATTTATATTCTAGCTTTTCTGGAAGTATCTGGGTTTTTTTCCCTGGGGGGATTTTTGTCTTATTGAATGAGTTCAGACAACACAATAACCCTCACTTAAAGGTTGTTGTAGAACAAGTTTTAGTTGAAATATGTCTTGTCCTGCTATCTGAAGCCAGCTGTGCCAACAAGCCGTTATTTGTTGGTAGGTTGTAAACGGTGGGTTGTTTATCATGGTTTATTGTTTTGGCTAGGTTCAGAAACACAATAACCCACAATTCAACAATACACTGTTCAGTGACAGCCCATGCTCAGCCTTTAGCATGGGTTATCCTGTCATCTGAACCCAGCTGGTGAATTTTGTAGTGATGGAGGGGCCCACCTTGTGATCAGCAAGTTGTGATCTTAATTCTATAGGAGCTTTCAAAAATCTGTTTCACTGTTCTAAAACCACCAGAGAAAAATCCATTGGTGCTGACTTTACCTTACACAAAATCAATTTTATATTGTTTATTTTATTTTGGGGTTTCTTTTATTTCTAGGAGACAAAGTCATTCCCCTTTGTCTGCCTCAATGTGGAGAATGCAACTCGTGTTTAAGATCTAACACTAACTGTTGCCTGAAAACCCAGTGAGTTTGTTTGGAATTTTGTCTTGTATTTCCGTAGATTTTTGGCATTGTGTAGTACTGTTTTTTTGTTGTTAACAACTCCAGCTCTCTCTGAAATAGCCTCTGTGAACCACAAAATCTGATGCCAGACAAGACCAGCAGATTCACCTGCAAAGGGAAGCAAGTTCACCACTTCCTTTGGATCAGCACTTTCTCAGAATATACAGTTATGCCTGACTCTACTGTCGTTAAGATTGATAATGCTGCTCCTCTGGATAAAGTCTGTCTTTTCGGCTGTGGATTTTCCACTGGTTACGGGGCTGCCCTCAATACAGCCCAGGTAAGGAATCGTGTACTATCAATGCAGTGCTGGCTCACTTCAGGCTTGCGGGATCTTCATTGCCTTTTTTGTGGAATCCTGAGTCTGGTGCAAAAGACATACATAGCAGCCCTTGCTAAAAAAGGAAAACATGCCAGAAAAGTGGTGATGGAGTCATGCTAAATTACCTTTCCTTGCAGATCATGTAGTTCCACCTTAGGCATCACAGTGCGTACATTTTAGCTAATTTAAATGTTACTCAATTTGTATGAACCTTATTCAGAAGAATAATATAGTAATTTGAAGCCTTATAGCTAAAACACCCTGCAGGTAGTTGTACTGGAGTCTTGCATGTGTACTAAAAGCAATCAGTGTGGTGCAGCGGCTAGGAGCACAGGACCGGGACTCAGATGACCTGGGTTCTGGTCCCTGCCTAGCCATGGAACCAGATGGACGGCTGTGGGTCAGTCGCATACTCTCAGCCCAACCTACTTCACAGGGTTCTTATGTGGGGCTGAGACTGAGAACAGGAGGAGAATTATGTAAGCCAATCTGAATTCCTTGTAAGGAAAAAGATGGGATATAGATCCATCCCACAAAATCTCTAAAAACAGGCTGTGTTGCTTAGCATAACTTGACACAAGCTTTGTGCCTTAGGCCTAGCAGGAACTGGGTTATATGTAACACTACCTGCATAGCAATGGGTCGGACGCAACTTTACTAAACAACAACAACCTGCATATATAATATGAATGACTGAAGTGGGAGATGGGCTGCCTTTGTGCACATGCTTGTGGAGAATTCCACCTTGCACACTTAGGGTTCTGCAGCTTGTGAAACTGGGAATGGGGTGGGATCCCTGCTGAAATGGTGGATGCACAACTGCACGATGCATGTGATGACAGCAGTGGGGCTAGTCCCTGTGGTTCCTCCCCTACTCACATGGCATACATCCTTAAAAACCCTGAGTATGGCTTTAGAATTGAAAGAATTCTGACCTACTTGCATACAAGGACTAAGCATAGTTACGGGCCTTACGCACCCTTACCTCCCCTCATGCTTTATCCAGTTTATGGCTGCAGGAGGACTTATTTTGTTGCTGCTGTCAGTAAACAATCAAGAGCTAGAAATCCTTTGCACTCTGCACCTAGTGATCTGCTGGTGTGGTGCTTCATGAGTGCTACTTAGTTGTCATGCTGAATTATGCATAACTGGAGAACATCTTCTTCACCCTGCAATGTCACACACATTGCAGTAAACATTCATCCTGCTCCTTTCCACCCCCTCTAGGTCATGCCTGGTTCCTCCTGTGCCATTTTTGGTTTGGGAGGAGTTGGTCTCTCCGTGGTGATGGGATGCAAAACGGCTGGGGCTTCCCAGATCATTGGGATTGACATTAACAAAGAGAAGTTTGCAAAGGCAAAAGAACTGGGAGCCACAGAATGTCTTGACCCTCGAGATTACAAGAAGCCCATCCAGGAAGTGCTGGTTGAAAGGACTGGTTACGGTGTTGACTATGCTTTTGAGGTTGTTGGATGTTTGGATACACTGGTATGTTTTGGTTTTAGTCTGTAATTTCTGACTCTGCCCTGTGTTTTGATACCAGACTGAAAGGATGCAGTGTTTCATATTTTCGTTAAAACAATATGCTCAAAAATGTTCCGCTTTATAGGCAACCCTTTCGCCTATCAACTGGACTGCCAACTAATTTCTACATCAGGCATGGGGAACTTCCAGCCCACCAGTGGCTCTTATCTGACCTGCCAGCTTCTTGCCCAGACCCTTGTCTTTCCACCCATGGCAGGAAAAATCTGTTAATTTCCCATCAGCAGTCAGCAGGAGACTAGAGATTAGAATTTTGCCTCTAGGAAAATTAGTTATCTCTGATCAGAGATGATAGATTTTTCTTCTGTTACACCCTGTCTTGTGTTATATTTAAGCTTTTTAAAATGCCTCTGGGGCATTTTCAGCAGGGTATGCTTTGATTGTGTGTCCTGTGCTGAAATGTGTGTGTGTGTGTGTGAGAATGAGGCCTTGATCACATGCCAACTGCAGGGGACCCCACCCTAGCACATGGCCGTAGGCATACCTGGCCACAGTTCATTTAGCAGTTGGATTCCCTTGCAAGTTGGCATTGCTCACACACTTAGCACCGTTGTGTCACTGGTGAGCTGCCATACCTCCTGTTGATGTCTTGCAAGAATAGAGGCTGGTGTTGCAAGGAAGTATGCTTCAGTGTGCCAGAAAGACTCTTAATTGAGCCACCAGACTTCCCTATCCTCGTGTCTTCTTGATGGTTTGGACTTGAGCTTCCGTCAACTCCTGCCAAAATGGCCAATGGATAGGAATCTTGGAAATTTTAGTGCAAAACTGCTAGAGGGCAGCACGTTGGGAGAGGCTGTTCTTGACGAATCCCTGATGAACTCTATGGAAATGCTCGAGATTCTTGGAACGTTATGGACTGCTTTGGATATGATACCAAGCCATGGTTTAGTGCTATGTGAACCTCCAGGGTTTTGTGCTCCTTTTGTCCTCCCCATGCACGTTCTGATTCACACGCCTTTCCGGTTGGTCACAAGTCCTAGTTTGCAGTTTCTTCCAAGTAGTGGTAAGCAATGATTTCTGCTTGCCCTGTAAACCAGGACGAAAACCAGTATTTTGAACATGTTTTCAGTTTGCAGGCAAAGCAAGGAAGAGGAGGGAGGGCAAAAATAACAATGATTTCCAAGACTTCAGGCCTCTGGGATCTCCATTGTTTTTCATCAGAACCACAATATCTTTCAAGCAGAGTTTGGCGCAAACACACACATGCAGATTTAAAGCATTCTGAGCCTGGGAATTTATTTTGGGTAGCAAAACTGAACGGGGTTCACAACTCTTTCATCCAGAAATCCATTCCTGGTTACTGTACACTCACTATTTCAACAATATAATATGGATAGGCAGGTTAATTTTGTTGTTGTGATTGTTAAGTTATCAGAAGTCAGAAAACCTTGTGGTTCTCCTACAAGTTACCCACAGAGCTACCTTCTGCCCAGTCCTGCTCTAGGGAGCAGTCTTGCCCAGTCTGGTAACATTCAAGTGTTTTGGAATTCACTTCTCAAACCAGCAAAGCCAATGGTCAGGCATATGAAGAACTGTAGTCCAAAGCCTCTGAAGAGCACCAGGTTGGGGAAGACTATCTGTGAGGTAGGTTGGATTGAGCAGGGCTGGTGTTGGAGGTAGGCAGGCTGGGCACTTGCTGAGGACCTACCCCCTCTCATGGGCCCACTGATCAGAGACGTTGGATTTGCTCCTCTTTACCACTGCAAGCTGCTGCTTCACCTGCCTCTCCCTCTGTCTCAGATGACAATGGTAGTGGTGTAGAGAATCAGTAGATGCCACTTGCTGGCTTTCTGCCTACCAATGCTGAGAAAGACGATGAGAAGCAATAGCAGCAGGTGACAATGGTTGAGAAAAGGACTCACTGAGGGAGGTTGCCCATGGAAGGTGCCCATGGCTGCTCAGAAATCTGAAATGGAGTAACAGTGACTTACCAGCTGTCAGACTATGGACTTCACAACTGATTATGGAGAGCAACCTCTGTATAGCCATTATTGCCTGGCAACTGTCCTCCAACTTATAATCCATCTTTCTTGGGGAGTGAGGGGTTGACATTTGCTTAGAATGCAATCACATTCACCAAGGATTGCCATGTAAATAGTTGTGGAGCTCATTTCTTTGGCAACAAGTTGCAACTTTCTCAAATCAAGCTCCTTCAGGTCAAAATAAATATGCCTCAGGCTGTGTCAGCCATGTAGTGTGTTCAGACAGAAGTTTCCTGCATACTTGGGGAAATGCATGCCAACAGAGACAAAGGATGCAGAATGGGGCACTGTTCAAGTAGGAATTGTCTGGAGAGGCGTTTAACTCCATCTCTGCAGCACAGCCTATATAGCCTGCACTAGGACAACAGTGAGCCCGTGTGAGAGGATGCTGTGCAGGGTGCAGGACACCAGGTGCGCCTTTGGTACCCTTCCCTTCAGAACTCTGGCCTTGGGCATCTTTAGTGTAATAGCATGTCATTGCTCCTCTGTTTGATAACGACTGTTTAATGTCCTGCTTCAATTAGACAGCTGCTCTGGCGTCTTGCCACATAGGCTGTGGAGTCTGCGTGATGGTTGGTGTACCTCCTTTAGGCTCTCAACTGTCCTTCGATCCTATGCTGCTTTTCACTGGACGCACCTTGAAAGGGAGTTTCATAGGAGGTAGGATGATGTACTCAGATGCACACCTGCATCGCTTGCATGTCCAGTCTGTCCCATTTCATCGTTCCTGGGTATGAAGCAAGGAGTGCAGGTTATGGAAGTGCCAACACCAAATCAAAGTTTGTTTTGATGACTTCATGGTTGTCCTGTATCGGGGTGCAGAGCCTCGCTTGGGTTTCTCCAGAAGGCCACACCCTTTTCTCTAACCACCACTTCTTTGGTGGCTTCCCAGCTTTCATGCCATTTTTCTCCATTCTAAAAAGATGAAAAGACTCTTGTAAGGCATAGGTTCTGACAGAAAGAGTTTTAAGTTATGATATGCTGGCGCTTTTGGCTTTTAGGACCAATCCTCTGGTTTTACGCCTTTTGCCTTTGGCCCTGCCTACCACGAGAATATACACCCTGGAAGCTTTTCCAAAATGAAGTTTGGTTCTTGGGCTGAAAGAAGTTTCACGCACCTGCCCTGTATCTACAATGCAACCCTGAAAAAAGAATGAGAAGTGTGTGCATTGAGTAATCCACATGCTTCCAACTGTCCTCTTACCCTGTTTTTTGTCCTGCACGATGCATGACTTAATAAAACCCCTTGTGTTGTTGGGGGCAGTTTTGTGATAGGAAAAATGCTCCTGTGAACAGATTTGATGTTAACATTGTGCAAGTTGTAGGGGTTGGTGTGTTTTTTTTTCAGGCTGGAAGATGAAAGATTCTATCCCTCACTTGGTATCCAGTTACATGGAAGGAACATTTAAATCCGATGCCTTAATAACCCACACTTTGCCATTCAGCCAGATCAGCGAAGGCTTTGATTTGCTTCACTCTGGAAAGAGGTAAGAACAGTGACTTGTTAGGACTTACTTTTAATAATGGCAACTTCATCCCAGAATTTAGTATGTCAGTGCAAAGCAAAACAGTTTCCAATGCTTTGATAAGGAGTGTTTGACAGAAATAAAATGGACTTGCCAAGTGATTATGTGGTTGGGACCCATGGTGCAGCTGTGTAGGATGCTAGTTCTTCATTGTGCCCAGCCACCAAGTGAGATGACCTTTACCACATCACCGCAGTCCTAATTCTGTGGAAAAGCCGGCCTGACAGCACAGTCAAAACAAAGCTCAGAAAGGAGTCATGTTTCCCAAGTGAAAGTCTCCCTCCCCAGCATTCCAGCATCATCCATCAAGAGTATCTTAAACACGCATGTCATGTGATGAAGGTCTGAAAGCTGCTTCATGGCTTTTTCTGCAGAACAACTTGTAAAGTTAAGTTTTCTTTTTCTCTTTCAGCATTCGCATTGTCTTGAAGTTTTAAGTTACTGAATTTCTGTAACGATTCGAATGCCTTCAACCTGGAACTTCTCTTGAAAAATGCTCTCTTTATCGGCTGGTTTTTAAAAACAATAATAAACAGTGCCAACTAAAAACTTGACTTTTTCATGTTTGTTTTATAATGAAATAATTGTATAAACAGTATGGTATATGATATGGCACATTGGGTTACTTGGCCCCAGATGCTTGAAAATTCCAAGTCATGCTTTCAGTTCTAAGTCATGCAGAAAGAGCACAATATAATCTTTTTGTGTCTCCAAAACTAAGTAAAGCCAGTCAACAGAAAGCTGTGTTTGCATAAAAAGTTTTGATTGTTCTGGAGGAATACTGAATTACAGTTGCTTAGCCTAAGAGTGGTAGATTTAGACATGTTGAGTTGATCGCATGGCACTTTTCTGGCACCTGGCATAAATAAAGCCACCTCCTGAAGGCTTCACACAAGCTTTTCTGTATTTCAGACAACCCAAAGCATTTATTCCCTTGAGTGAGAGTACGGGATTTCAAGGCAGCCTGTTGGGTTGGCTGCTCCCTCCAGGCCATGGGGGCTTGGGCAAGAGCCATTCCTGAAGCTCCTCTGAGAGGGTGGGAGGAGGACAGAAGCAACTGCAGCAGCCCTAAGGGATGCTCCCCCTGGCCACGGTTCAGCCCATTTCGGTTTTTCACTCCAATTCCCTGCCACTGGCACAGAACAGGGGTCACCCCGAGGCAGGGCTGGGCAACTTTGCCAGATCCAGGGTCCACCTCCCCTGCACTTGTAACCAGGGGTGGGCTTGGGCAAAGCCCCCTCCTGAGGTTTTTCATTTGCAAACAAATACATTGAAAGCAGATCGTTCAAGCCTGCAAATTAGGTGACTCTCTCGCCTGCTACTGCTCTGGTTCTGCTCCTCCCACTGAACTTTAAGGCTGAATGCAGACTGGGAATGTTGGGACACGTGCCCACACACTGGGAAGGCAACCGCTTGGCAGAGACTGCACTAACCTTGCACGTGAAGGTCAAGCACGCTTAGGACTTTGTTGCAGGGCAAGCTGCATTTCAAGATAAAGCAAGCATGGCACGGATGACCTGAAGGGGAACAAAAGAGGGTGGGCTTCCGTCTCCTTTTTTTTTCAAGTGGGCCTAAAGCCAGTGAGCTTCTTTTTGGGAGGTATTAAACTATCTTGTTTTATTCAGCCTCGATGGGAAAACCCCCACATGATTTCCTTTCCTCCGTGCCAATTGCAAGCTGTGCAGATCAAAGAAAAAAACATGATTCTTAGTTTGTTATCTGGGAGCACCAAAGGACTTTGGCATTCCTGAACAGCAGAGCAAGATCTGTCCCTGAGACTTCAGGGGAAATTTTGCAGAGCTGAGAATTACAAAAATGAAAAAAACATGATGAATCAAACAGTTTGAAAGCCTAATATTTGATGATGATTTTCAGTAATTGACATGCTTGTTGTCAACTAGGTGCAAATGTTGTTTTACTTTAAGTGAACAACGACATCAAGCTGTAGAAAATTTCTCTCAGATCATCCTCTCAAAAACTACCCTTAATGCCAGCTTGGGTTTGATGAGTATCAGGCCTCAGCAAAGATCAGGCTCCCAGCCCACTGAGGTTTCAGAGTAGTAGGAGCAGAAGCAGCTGCAAAATGGACAGAGCACCAGAGAGCAGTGGCAGTCAGGCAGTTCCTAGCCAGAGGTGGTCAAGATCTCGTGCAATCTGGTACTCATGAGAAGAGGCAGAGGGAGCCTGGAAATGTGTAGCTTCAGACTTTGAGATGAGAGACATGGAGCAGCTTATCTCAAGGCCACTCTCCAGGTGCGGAGGGATGCTTTGGGAATAACCAAGATATTATTCTTTCTGTTGGGGACATGGGAAAGGAGTTCTCAGAGCCAGGCACAGCTGGTATGACTCTTGACCCCATAACATGACATCAGGAGAGGAGGGCTAGCCAACTAGAGGGACAGCATACAGGGAAAGGCATGCTCACTTCCGTGAGGACCCTCCCAGAAGAATGGGGCCCAGACATACACCAAAGGAGGGTTCCTGGAAGGAGTTGCAAGACTGAGTTCAAGGAACTGCTCTCTGCACACTCAGACACTCATTCTGTGGCGACTGAGTTTATTGGATAGACTTTGGTGAATAAATAAGTTTTGCAGAGGAACAGCCTGTGGCCTTGAGTGTGTAAAGGGAGGAAATCCCAGCTCACCACAGCAACAAACAGAAACTGCTGCACGTGGCACAGAAGAGAGTCACTGCTTGTCCAGGGCATGAGGCTCAATTCCTGGTGAGTGCCCCACAAATGCTGGGTGAGCTTGCAGAAACATGGTCTCAGGGCTGCGACAAGGCGGACCGGAGTCTGGGGAGCTCAGCCCAGGGAAGGCAACAGGTTTTCACTCCCAAAATGGGTGCCTCGCATTCCCAGCACTCATGTTCTGCTTTTGGGTTTCTTGTGAGCAGCTGCTTGGCCACTTTGTCAACAGAACACTGATCCAAATGGAGCCGCCAGAGCATGGCTCTGATGCTTTTAGGCAGCACTGGCAAAAACTGAGCTGCAAATGTTAGGTGGAGCATTAGCTGAGCAACACTGGCTCTGGCGTCTCAGCCAGACCTCTGCCACAGAGTTGTATGCTCCTCTGAGCTCTGGGGAGAGAGGGTTAGATACAATGCAATTAACATCTAACTGCCAGGATAGGATGAATACCCATTCTGCCAAATGAAGATTTTTGTGTGATTTGAAAACTTGCATTGTCTCAGAGGACAGAAAGCCAATTATATTCATCAGTGCTTCCACCCTGGGTTAATAAAAAGGCTTTATATAAAGTATGGTGGTACTCTACTGAGGAAAAGGTATTAGAATCCACCATTTTCTTCAAACACTCTTTACCTGAAACATTATTCCTTATTTTAAATGAATCCTTTTATTATCTTCATAAGAGATTATCACATTGTTTTAAAACTTATCTTTCTCACTGGCAAAACACACTGACTACATTAAAGCATCAGCTTTGACCCCCGCTCACTCAGGTAAATCTACTTTAATTTGCACTCATTCCTGTTCCTGCATACTGAGCCACCAAATGCCAGTAATGACAGAATTTAACATCTTGCTGGGATGGGTAGTGGACATACTATTGAGACTTCCCGTTTAATCAGGGGATCCCCAATACTTTTTCTGGAGCGTTTACAAATGAATTTGTCCACAGCCTGGCCTCAGTCCCCAGCACCTTTGACCAGCTGCCCCAAGATCCCTGCAGACCCCACTGGTTCCTGACATGGCCTTCCCACACCCAGTGTCCAGATCTAGGCGATGTTTTCAGTTTCCCACAGTGCTACCAGCACAGTATGGCTGCAGGACTTTCAAAATGGAGCCTTGTAGCTGCTGTGCAAGTTAAAGAAAAAGCAATGGTTTATTTGAACGGCACTACAGAAACACCTGTGTGAGAGCATGCAAGAGAGCAGGTCTCAAGACACTGTACCCATTTGACAGTCTGCCAGAAAATATACATGTCACAAAGCATAAGAGAAAAACATAACTAAGCACACAGTAATTCTCTAAGTTACTCATTCTAGCTTGTTTTCTATAAACAAACCTTGCCACAAAATGCAACATTTCACACTTGCAGAAACATTTTACATCTCTCAAGAAGAGGTTTCAGGCAAAGGCAATGCTTCTTCTGCACTGCAACAAATTCTTACCGTTGCAATGCCTTTCCTTTCCTTACAGTGATTCCTAACTGCAGCCAGCTAGGAAAGACGTTCTGTCCAGAGACCTGCTAAAGGACCCCCTAAACCCTGCTTCAGAAAACCAGTATGCCCTCTCTCATTGCTGCAGAAGTCCTGTATGGGATCACCTTCTGCTTTCCATGCATAATGTCCGCAAATGAACATGGTTCAAAGTGATTCTTTTCATATACACAAGTTCCAGATTAGAAACTCTAGTTGAACTGCACTTTCTTCAGCTTTTCCTCTTCTCTTGCTTCTAGCATTTGATAGCACTGGATGTTGGGTGTCTGCTCCAGGGGGAGATGAATTTGAGCCAAATAGTTGGGAGGCACAGTGCTGAGCTACTCAAGGGTCCTCCCCTTCTTCAGCTGGCCTATCAAGATTAGATATTGTGTGTGGGATGCAGGAAGGAGACCAAAGCTGCTTCTGCGTTTGTATGTTCTTGCCAGAGACGAAGTACATTAATCAGCCAGAGGAGAAGTCCTTTGTGGAGGAGCTGGGATTGACTTAGCACGGGAAGCCTGACACACATGGCGACTGCAGGGAAGGTAAGGAAATTTTTCTCACACTCTACAATCCATCTGATCAGCACATGCGAAAAGTTTCCATGTGTGCAGGTATTAGGTCACTTTGAATATGAAAAAAATGAAGTGCTGAAAACTGTTAATTGCCTAGGGAAGTGTCCTGTGAGTCTAACATTTACCAATTGTAGCTTGGACTGCAAAATGCCAAACACTTAACAAGTATCTTCCCTTTGTGGTTCAAAAGGTGAACAGGCTGGAGGGAAGGAGGGAGACTGGCAGCACTATATTTAAACTTTTCAGGCAGTCACAGCAGCTGACCTTGCACAAGATGTAATAGGCAGAAAGATGCACTGGGAAATCCTGGATTCACATATTTCCAAGAATTTATTAGGTTAATGTTAAGAAGTTAATAAATATTACCAATATAACAACAACATTTTCTCCCTCTGTCTCAAAGATGTATGTAATAATGCTGTCCTATTTTACAGGGTTATTATAAGAATTACAGTGTATGAAATGGATGTGGTCCAGGGGCCAGTTTCTTGGGATGCTTGGCTTAGCAGTGAAATGATGGCTTCTTGCTGCCGCTGGAGCTTGTCAGTGCACTTCCCAGCGTAGTGGCTGCAGCTGTGGGGCCCCATGGGTGGTCCCACATGTGGCCCACCCCGATCTAAAGACTGATTCTAGGGTCTGTTCTAGATGCCTTAAAACAATCAAACAGGAAAGCAGGAAAGAGCAGTGATCCCAGAATTTGGGAACCTTTGATGGCATCACAACCAGACAGATTCCTGTATGATTCAGTGTAAGAGAATTTTAGATCCTGAACTTAATATTCACTTGGGGATCCCCTGTGTGATGGCCAAGGTTGTAGAATACATAATTAATATTTCCAGGTTTTAAAATATAAAGTACACAGTTCATCTAAACTTTTATACTGTAAAGTACACAGGTAATGCTCCAGGTTTTACAATTGCATCTCCATTCCTTCCTGCAGAACAAGGGGGTAAACAACCAAGAAACTAAAACTGCTTGCCAACCCTGAAAGAAAGAACAAAGAAAAAAATTCTAAGCATATACCATTTCGTATTTTTAATTCTTGCAAATCATAGCACCATCATAGTTTACAACGTTGGTTTATGATGGCACCATAAGCATTGCCAAAAATGATACCAATTTGCAAGTTTACCATAACTGCAGTGTAAATATAAATACAATAGAATATAGGGGGGTACAGAGTAGAAAAGGCGGACTAGTGATCTGTATGCCTGCTTGTTCAGGCCACTGCCCAAATGCTAGCTGGTTTCAAGGTCCTTGCTCTCCAAGTTGCTCTTCATTTTCTGATGAGTAAATCACAGTAGTAACCTTAAAAGTCTTGGCTAAGGGGATGTGCAAATCATTTCAAAAGCAAGTGAGAACTTGTTGTGGCCCTTTGCTCTTTTAAATCTGTCCTCAGAAAGCATAACCAGAGGCAATGGCAAATTAAGTCAGCAAAAGTCCCCGTCAGAGAAAAATGAACAGTCTGTGATTCAGAGTGAAATGTTCACTTAATTATGCATCACAATGAACATGGAAAAATGAAAAAATGAACATTACCTCTATTTATCATGAACATCTTTCTACACATTGTGGGCTTCTTGATTGAACACTTCTCTGTAAATTTTACTTTCATGTTTCATGCATCTTTAATATTGTCACTCCCACAGACCCCACTTTCAAGGGGTTAAAAATTTCAGGGTTCTCAGGACTTACTGAATCTTGAATTTCCTTAGAAGGAGGTCGCTGAGGATGCAAGATGTTTTATTTACATATATGAACACCAGATAAGAGCATGAACATGGCAATGAATTCCCATTCCCCGCTAGATATCAAGAGGGAAAGCTATGCTCCCATAAGATGTCCTGCAGAGATCCAGGCCCTTCTTGAGGTCTAGTTCCAGTGCAGACCAATTTCCTGCAATACTCGCATGCTGGGTTGCTTCTGTTGCTCTTGGTGCGTCCACAACTGCTTGGCTGTGGTGCTATCTGAGGACAGCAGCCACTCAGCTGATTTCTCAAGCAGGGATGCTACCAGACTGAAATTGCCCAACTGGCTGACCCATTTTGGTAGTCTCCTTTCACAACTGCAGACTCAAAGGCATAGTTCACACTTAAAGAGAAGCCACCATGGGTGGATTTCCTGCTGGGACTTTTGCTGCTGTGGCAGCTGCCATTTTAGGGATTGGGGCACAGCAGTGGGGGCATGTGGTAGAGTCTTCTTGAGTGCGAACCCAGCAAGCGTGGGTTGTTGGAATGGCTGACATGTTGCTTGCAATCCTATAAAAGCCCACAGGTTCTCGCTGGCTTGTCAGTCATCCCCACAACCTGCCTTTGCCAGGTTCACATATAATGGGTGGCGGACTTGTCCAACAGACACATATGGTAAATGTCAGATATTCGGGAGCCGCAAGCGTGTCCTTGGGGCTGCTGGCATCGGGAAGCAAGCAGGTGCCTGCAGGGGGGCTGGCATGCAGCAGGCGGGCACCCACAGCAGCCCCAAAATAAACTCAGAGAGCCACGTGTGGCTCCCGAACCTCAGTTTGGCCACCCCCACAATATAACAAGAAACTACCCAGGTATTTGAAATGGCTGTGGCCCCCACAGTAAGAAACCCCACACAGAAATTCACCCAAGTATTCCATGCAAACCAGGGACCCACCAGTGAGAGGTTATATTCAGACTAACAGTAAACATAAAGGTGTTTTTTTGTTTTTGTTTTTACATTGGCAAGAGTATCAGACTATGCCTATTCGTTTCCCTACTTCTTCTTTTCTTCTTATTTACACTGGACGGACAGCAGTGCAAGCCTTACTCATGCAGTCCATGTGTAAAATTTCGTTCGTGTAAAGGCTGCAATCCTAAATACTTTTACTGAGGAATAAGAACCACTAAACACAGCGGACCTTACCTCTTACCGACACGCACTGGGTTGTGATGTGAAGGTCCTACACATCATGTCGGAGGGCACCTTGTGGTCCTCCCAACATTTTGGCCTATAGCTCTCTTCCGCCCAACCCAGCATAATCAGTGCTGAGCACTGACGGGAGTTCTAAGCCAAAATATCCATAGGACCACAAGCCACCCTCCTTTGGTAGAACTTGTACATCTTGGAGTCTTCCAGGTGTATTGTTTTTGCTGGCTTTGTGGAGGGGCACAAACAGGATTGTATGAAGGAAGCACTTTATTCTGCAGATGGAGAGTCAAAGGGTGCCCACTCAGTTGCAGAACGTATACTGTGTCTACTGAAGGTCCTGGGTTCCGTCCCTGACATTTCCAATTTAGAAGGTCAGGTAATATGGAAAAACCTGAGACCCTGGAGAGCCATCCACCCGCTGTCAGAGTAGGCAGAAATAGCTGGAAGGACTGAGTATCTGACTCAGTGTAAGGCTGCTTCGCAGAGTAATGGTTTTAACATGTCCTTGCTCCCTGCCCCCAGCTCTTAGGGTGGTAACGGGCTACAAGCTGATTGAATACATACATTCCTGAGGTTTCTGCTGTTCCCAAGGTTTCCTTTTCCTTTTCCCATCTGATCTTGGCAAAGCACAAGCCCAGCGGAGCTGGGAGAACTACCATGTCGCTCCAACCCCATCATTTGCTTCCTTTTCCCCTATAGCTCCGAACAACAGGAGAATCTGGATGTCAGTTTTGATGCGTTTCTTCACCAGAGCCACAGATTTATGGTGGGGGAGGGCATTGTACCTGGTGAGATACAAAAAAGGGTCAGAGTGCCAAGAGAAAGGAAATGGCTGCACTTGAGTACTGAAGTGTAGGTACTTCATTCAGTGTCTTTAAAACAATGCACAAAGGAACACAGGAATGGAGGAAATCAGGGCACAGCCTCCTTACCCTTGATTCCACATCTGCGTTCTGGGAAAGCGGTTCATGTGGAAAGGAAATTAACAAGCAAACTGGCCAACAGAAGATAAAAAAAGGCATGATGCCAATAGAACACTGCTGTTTCTGCAAGAGCAGAACCAGAGGGGACATTGGTCCTGTCTTGACTCTTTTGGGGCACAAGATAGAAGTGGCATAAAATTGGTGGTGAATACAAATCCAAGGGAAGGCTGCTTCAGGATACATGGCCTTCCAGGGCTCCTCCCCTCTTTCCAAACACTCCTTTTCCCCTCCCTCCAAGGTCACTTTCCCACCACATTCTTTCTGCATGGGCTGAGAGAAGGCAGAGGATCAGAAATCGGAATCCCAGCTCCAAGGTCAGAGTGCTGTGCCCAGCTCAAGAACTGGGAATCTGAACTATCTTACACCTCTGCAGACAATGGCTGGGTTCACAGGACAATCCAGCAAACAGGATATTCAATTGTGCTTCATACTAACAATGGTGAAATGGTGATCTCAGGTCCAGACAAGCAGAGAAGTGTGGAAACCTTAGAACAAAGCACTAGTTCTCTCTGCCACTTCAGAAAACTAAGCCTACCATGCAGGAACTTCGGAACTGGGTCCAAATGGTACAACATACAACTGTAAGATTTCGCCATAGTGTCCCATGCTCTGGAAGCCTGTCCAACATTTAGGGGCTGTAGGATCATTTCCTTCCGCAACAATATACTGGTTTTTTGTTTTTTTAAAAGTTATTGTCACCACCACTGTTGCTTTCAGTTCTGCCTATCAGCAGAACGCTCATACAGATGGAACTAAAATCTGCCAAGCAAAATTCAGTATCAGAGTAAATGTAGGCAGGACTGTTTTGTTCAGAGTTTATGTTTGCACTGTTGTTTCAGGGAGGTTCATTTAAATCATTAGAAGGACACCTCCGAAATCCTGATTGACCAATGTTGATGGCATCTGTGTCCACAGGTGATTAGATGCAAAGCTGCAATCTTCTGGGAAGCTGGCAAAGGAGTTGCTGTTGAGGAGGTGGAGGTGGCCCCCCCAAAGGCTCATGAAATCCGAGTGAAGGTAAGAGAACGTGGTTCAAAGGAGATGTTCCTCTCTGTACTATAAGCAAATCATTATTGCAGTGCAGCCTTTCCCAGCCTATGGTGAGGAACTGCTGCATGGTATCAAGTTGGCTTCTGTGGGAGCAGAAGGGCTGGGCAGGTGTCTCGTCTGATCCAACATGGTTTTCCTTATCTTCTTAATGAGGTCTAAGTGCAGGGCAAACACTGAAAGAATGCACTGCGTTTTCCACACAGATAGTGGCCACTGGGATCTGTCGGACGGATGTTCATGTAGGGAAAGGTTTCTTCCCACACGTGGACTACCCAGTTATAGCTGGCCATGAAGGAGCCGGGATTGTTGAAAGTATTGGACCAGGAGTCACCTGTGTAAAGCCAGGTAAGGATGGAACAGAAGAAGAACTCGCAGGGGGCACTCATTGGTCACTGCGAGACTTTTCGGTCATTGTTCAAAGCAGCCTCCCCCAAAAAGATGTTTTGGATGACCACCAAAAAATTAGGCATATGGCAAAAGTGCTCCTATAGGGGAATGTTTACAGCACGCCATTCCCTCTGCACATTTTCGTTATGGCAAAACATTTAAGGCGCAAAATAACAATCAGGAGAAGCGAGGACCCTGGTGGGGGCCAAGAGCACTGTCCATGGGCATGTTCTTGCCCGCAGGCAACGTGCCGTGGACCCCATGATTCGGCACTGCCCAGACTCCCTGCAGCTTTTGACAGGGTCCACTAAGGGATTTCTTCCTGACCTTCCTGGGCGATATGAATATGCTTATTATTCACTAAGTCCTCTTAATCAACATGGGCAGTTTTGGGGAGGGTAGGTATTTGTAATGGTTTGGTGTTTTATTAAGAGCTTTTTGAGTCTTCTTATTTTTGCATTATTAAAAAAAGATCTTTTTCAGCTGCATTTTGCTGTGCTGGCTTTTAAATCTTGCACTATGTTTAATTCTCAGGTGTATAAGTCTAGGGAATAGGAATCTCTATTTATTCTTGCAACAAAGTAGAGGGAGGAAGAGCGTGCTTAATCCTTTCCGCCACTGGCACTTCTCCAGCGCATGGAGGCAGCCACCTCTCCACTGCTCTCACCACCACCAGTGCCTCTGAAGTGTGTCATGTCCCTCTCCAGTAGCCTCCACGGGCACTCCATAGCAGTTTTCTGGGGTGCTAACTGGCAACACTGTCGTTGCGACTTGGGGGTGAAACATATACTGTCTCCACTCCTTGTTCAGATGAGCCCCTTCCAAAGCTTGTGATTTTTCGAATTTATCCAGCCTGCACAAATGTTTTGCCCAAAAATGCCACCCCACCTTTTCCATGATAGTTCCATGGAATTTTCCATACAGGATCAGCCTAAATTAAAATTCAGCACATTTTCCAATTTTATTGCTGTTAAGAGGATAATTTCTATATAATATATATTCTATAAATATATTATACTTTTATTTAAAATGATATGCTTATACCCTCAACCTGTCTTAGTAGTTTCTAGGTTTTGTTCACAAACAATGTTAACTTAAGAAATCACTCTGTCATTCTTTTTCCCTGAAAGGTGACAAAGTCATTCCTCTTTGTATTCCCCAGTGTGGAGAATGCAGCTGCTGTTTGAGTCCTAAAACTAACTGTTGCCTCAAGTCCACGTAAGTTTGTTTCACCTCTCTTAATATTTGTTTGTTTGTTTCTCCAGAAAATAAGCAGTCAGCAGGATGCAGCAATCAGAGAGTTGGGATGGGACTGGAAAATTCTGAGTTCAAACCCTCACTCAGCCATGAAGTTCATCGGGTGGCTTTAGGCCAGTCACTCACTCTCAGCCTCATCTAACTCAGAGGGTGGTTGTTGTGAAGATGAAATGGAGAGAAAGACAAAGAGGATTATGTAATCCACTTTGGGTTCCTTGGAAGAGAAAAGGCAGGATATGAATAACATAAATCAATAAAATAAATTAATGATGTTTAGCCCAGTTTATCATGGCATCCATTCCGAATGTGCTCAACAGCCTCTATGAACCTCTTCAAAACCTGATGCCAGACAAGACTAGCAGGTTCACCTGCAAGGGGAAACAGATTTACCACTTCCTGTGGACAAGCACCTTCTCTGAATTCACAGTCATACCTGAGGCTGCTATTGCCAGAATCGACAGTGATGCTCCTCTGGACAAGGTCTGCCTCTTTGGCTGTGGGTTTTCCACTGGCTACGGTGCTGCTGTCAATTGTGCCAAGGTAAGGGTTGAATCACCTGTGTGCTCCTCAGAGGTAGGTGAGAGCAGAATTTGATTCTTTCTTCCCTCAGGCTTTATTTATTTATTTATTTATTAAAACATTTTTATGCCACCCCATTCGCCGAAGCCTCGGGGCGGCTTACAACATAGATAAAACAATAAGTTAAAATATCCATATAAAATAATCTTAATTAAAACACACATTATAAAATAAGCCGCCCTGGCCAGATAAAATTCAATTGTATTTAGCATTTAAAATGTTGCTTAAATAAAAAGGTCTTAGCCTGGCGCCGAAAAACAAATAACGACGGCGCCAGGCAGAGCTCTCTGGGGAGCGCATTCCATAACTTAGGCGCCACCGCTGAGAAAGCCCTTCTCCGAGTAGCCACCCTCCTAATTTCTCTCACGGAGGGCTCCCGGAAAAGGGCCTCTCCCGCCGATCTCAGGGGGCGACTGGGCAAATATGGATGTAAGCGCTCCTTCAGGTAACCAGGACCCAAGCCGTTTAGGGCTTTATAGGTCATTACCAACACCTTGAATTGGGCCCGGACTTCAATGGGGAGCCAGTGAAGCTGACGGAGAACTGGAGTCATGTGAACATAACGTCCAGTCCCCGTCAGCAGCCTGGCAGCTCTATTCTGAACCAATTGAAGTATCCGGACCGTCTTCAAGGGTAGCCCCACGTAGAGCGCGTTACAGAAGTCAAGACGGGAAGTCACCAGCGCATGAGTCAATGTTGCAAGGCAGTCGTACTCCAGGTAGGGGTGCAGCTGATGAATCAGCTGAAGCTGGAGGAAAGTGCTCCTCGCCGCTGTTGTCACCTGAGCTTCAAGTGAAAGCTCCGGGTCGAGGAGCACTCCCAAGCTGCGGACCTTGTCCCTAGGAGGGAGTGCAACCCCGTTCAGGACAAGGTTCAGGTCACCTTCTCCAAAGCCCGAACCGCCAACCAACAGGACCTCCGTCTTGTCTGGATTGAGACATTGTCTGGCTTCCTGAAAACTCTTGCGGGCAGGCCTAAGAAATATATTCCTAGGACCTGTGTTCTAGCGGGGGCCCAGTGGCAGGAGTGGTCCTCCTGTTTAGGTAAGCTTTGAACTTCCCAGCCCTCACCACGTAGATCCATACAGCCATTGCACGAAGAGGAGTGGAGAACTTCCAACTTCCCAGGGTTTCCCGGATGTTACCTCCCACTATGGTTCTGCTTAGTTTATTTCATATCTATACTGGCCCATGGCCTAAGCTCTCTGGCAGGTTTACAACAATCCTTTCCTTTGCTCCATGCATTTCCCCTTCCAGAGACCTTCCAGTCGGTAATGCACTAGCTCCTGCCCATTGCAGTCCGTGGCAGTGCATGACAATGCATCCGTATCCCAGCCTTCTCACGTCTCTTCTGTCTCTCCTGCCCTGTGCCTTCCGTTAGCCCATTGCTTGACCATTCCCTGCATACTGCTCAGCTCTGCCTCTGCCTCATGCCTTTGCTTATGTGGAGTTGCAGGTGGAACCTGGGTCTACGTGTGCTGTCTTTGGCCTGGGAGGTGTTGGTCTGTCGGTTGTCATGGGCTGCAAAGCATCTGGAGCATCCAGAATTATTGGGATTGACATCAACAAGGATAAGTTTGCCAAGGCCCAAGAGTTAGGAGCCACTGAGTGCCTTGCTCCCCAGGATTTCCAGAAGCCCATCAACGAAGTGATTGTGGAGATGACTGGCCTTGGTGTGGACTATGCCTTTGAAGTAATTGGACGCACGGACATCGTGGTACGTGATCTGCTTTCTTGGGCTCAGTTTCTGAAGATGCTGTGCAGAACCTTTATGAAGTAGATATATAAGTGCCTTGCTTGGACTTCTGGGTAATGTTTGCGATGGTGGCTAGAACTGGCAAGAAGGGTAGGCAGGGTTGGGCACCTGCTGAGGGCCCATAGCCCTGCAGGGCCCTACGGACAAGAGCCCCTTGGAATTGCCCCTCTTCTTTCACCTTTGCAACCTGCTTGTTCTCCCTCAGGCTTTTGCTCAGGTCCAGGGAGTGGAAGTGGTGGGAAGGAAGAGCAGCACATGCTACTGCCTCTTTGCACTATGCCTTCCCAAGTGGTCACCATGACAGGGAAGAGGATGAGGTGCCAGAACAGCTGGCCCTTCTCACACATGCACTAGACTCAAGCACTGTCCTGCCCAGAGGGAGGGAAAGTTGGGAAAGTAAAATACATGAGTTGTTGCTCTTCTCAGCTGCCACTTACTTGGATGTACATGAGTAATGCCCTGAGCGGGAGGGGAGGAGGTGGGATGAAGGAGGTGTCCACCTCTAGCAGATCATAAATCAAACAGTGGTGCTCGGGTGAACCCGCCCTTAGAGCTAGAATGCAGTGAGCACCTGGAATGCAATGAGACACTGTGTTATGTCTCTCTGAATAACTATTACCTGTATGCATCCTGGTCTTTGAAGAATCATGTGAATGGTGTTTTGTAGGTCTGTCCAGTCCTAAGTTCATAGCTGGACTCCAGGTTCTTTCCTTTCGCCAGCAATGAACTCTTAAAGAGTATGAGTGGAGAGGTTGGCTCGTAAGAATATAGGAATAGCTTTGCTAGATCAACCACTGGCCAGGCTGCTCAAGCATTATGTCCCTCGATCATTTCCATTTCTAAGCTTGTCCTTTTGGTGTCTCAAACAGGCCGCTGCCCTCGCTTCCTGCCACCTGGGTCATGGAGTCTGTGTCCTGGTTGGGGAACCTCCTGCAGGATCGCAGCTCTCCATCAGTCCTTATCTTCTCCTCACAGGGAGGAAGCTGACTGGGTGTTTGATTGGAGGTCAGGGTTCGTGAAGGCACATATGTGTGGATGACGAATTTACTGCCATAGGATATTATTTATTTATTTATTTATTTATTAAAACATTTTTATGCCGCCCCATTCGCCGAAGCCTCGGGGCAGCTTACAACAATAAGTTAGATCATTAAAATATATACATTCAAATAAAATACAAATATACAATATAAAATAAGCCGCCCTGGCCAGATAAAATTTAATAATATTAACAATTAAAATGCTGCTTAAATAAAAAGGTCTTCGCCTGGCGCCGAAAAACAAGTAACGACGGCGCCAGGCGGACCTCTCTGGGGAGCGCATTCCATAACTTAGGCGCCACCGCTGAGAAAGCCCTCCTCCGAGTAACCACCACCTCACGGAGGGCTCAAATTGGTTAGACTTGGTATAAATACAGACTCCTGGCTTGTTCCTCTCCCTGCTTAGTGGAATGGTATCTTCTGTCTGCTCAGTATCACCCTCCAAACTAGCTCCCTGCTGTACTGCTAGTACTAGGCAGCATGGACCCTGGCTCAAAAATACCCATTCATGTGTAGATGCTCTTGGCCTTGGTACCAGTTCCCTGGCATCACAAGCATCATTTTTAGCTAGAAGTTCTTTGTGAAATGACATCAGAATAAAGAATAAAAGGCAGAAAGCAAGGAAGGATCTTTTGATAATATTAGGCTCTAGTTCACGGGTCCTCAAACTATGACCCGGGGGCCAGATCCAGCCCTCCATGCCCATTTATCCGCCCCACCTCAGAGGTTTTGGACTCGCTCGGAGAAAACAATCTCCGAGCGTGTCCAAAAGCTCTGAGTCGGCGCAGGCGTTCTTTACAACTGAGCAGAGAGAAGGCTGGTGCGTGCCCAAATTGCAGCAGCTCAACTGCACGTGTGCCAGCTCCCCCCCCCCACCCATTGCATGCATATACAGAGCAGGAGTATGGCGTGAGAAACAGAAGAGTAGTGGGCGGAAGAGAGAGAGAGACAAAGACGAAGAGAAAGAAAGGACTGAAGGAAACAAAAATATAATTTTTAAAATCTATGTTTAATTATGCGAGCCCAGGGGAGGCCAGGCCGGGGGGTGGCCGGACCTGCACCTGCCACTGCCGCTGGCTCGCTGTGCCTGCACCTGCTGATGCCACCTTTCAACTGGCCCCCTGTTGAAAAAATCCGAGGATCCCTGCTCTAGCTTATCCTTCTCTGTGTGCAACACCTTGGTATCAACAGAGCGTTGATACTGTTCTTGCAGAAGACTTACTGTATATAAACAGACCTTCCTGGTCCCATTCACGTGTAATAGCACTGTGCAATATCCAGACGCTACATCTGTGTGCAGAGTGCCAGATAAAATGCTCCACATCAAACGTGGGGCAATGTTTATTTTGTGTATTAATTTAAAAAGCATCTCTGCCCCACCTTTCCACCACTTTGTCCTTGGACAATACTATCTTGGGTTCTTCACTGATAAAAGTGAGTGTTATCTTCATCTCCTAATAGTTTTGTGAAAGTCAAAACATTTCATTCCTTAAAAATAAATGAAGTGGCAGTGCTAGCTGACCAATCTTATTTTGCCTCCCCACCCCCAGCCACAGGCTGGAAGTTAAAGGATGTTCTCCCTCAACTGGTTTCTGATTACATGAACAAAAAAATTAATACTGATGCATTAATAACCCATGTATTGCCTTTTGAGAAAATTGGTAAAGGATTTGAACTTCTAGACTCAGGTAAAAGGTAAGATTTGCATCCTTGTACTTTTGCCTTGCCTTTCTCCAAAGCTTCAGTGTTGTATATTTTCATCCTCACACAACCTGTGTGGTAGGTTCGGCTGGGGACACAGAAGGTCCTAGAAATGCACAAACCTTCTGGTTCTGCTGAGTCTTTGAAAGTTTGTTTCTGCATCAGTTTGTGCTTTTTAAAAAATCTGCCTTAATTTTCATATGCCCTGTTGTGAACCTTTCTCCTCACATTTGTGCAAGTGATTACCATTGATATAATGCAATTTTGCTTAATTTTATCACTCATGCATACATTAATCTATACTTTCTCTTAATATATGAATTCAATTCAATATATGAATTCAATTAGCATGGCCCTTTGGATGTTACATTTCTAAGAAGAATGTGCTTGAATGTGCTTCATGTGCTTTGACCAAATCCATCTAAAACGTCCTGGCAGGCAATGTACCACCTTGTGACATATCCAGATAGTTAGAAAGCTGTAAATTGAGGCTCTTTTTGATGCATATAGGGTATTCTTACAGATTTTGTTTTTTGGAAACACATTAATCTATCTCTGTTTTCTTTATTTCTTTCAGTATTCGCTCCATCTTGTTGTTTTAACACAGCTGCAAATTGTTTCCATGTCTGACCAAATTCAACATAATTTCATCTAATGCTAACATTTATCAAAATTTATGTTTGAGATGTATGTGCAATAAGCGATGGCAGGCCAACACAACAAAATAATTTCATTCAAATATATAAGTTGTAACCGGTAAGGATTTTGTGTAGAAGTGTGATGATGTTTTTAAGCCACACTTAGGATCACCTGGTCTCAAACTACGAGTATGAACCTTTGCAACCTGGCAGCTCACCCTCACTGCCTCATAGCCTGTTCCAGCTTTACACACGGCAGGGCTTTCTCACCTGATTTCTATCCATGCTTTACCGGCCATGGGATGCCCAGTGGCTTCTTCCAGGTGAATGTTGCTCTCTCCCCAGAGGTTACAACTAGGCATCGCAGCCACCAATCCGGGTCTTCAAATATGGGTGGTCACCAAGCAGCTGTAAAGCAGCTGCTGCTGTTGAATCACTGGAAGTCGGAAGTCCTTGCTCGTTGCTGCAAATTACCCCGAATTCTTCCTGTAGATCCAAGTGTTCAGTGCTTCTTCTGCTTGCCCTTTGCCTCTCCACAAACCCACCCAGACACTTCTGGTGCAGCACTAGGCAACATGGTGCTGTAGGCGCCAATTTACACTAAACACATTTCTAGGTGCCCATGAAGGTGCCTTTTGCTGCCCACTTTGGAAATTGACAATTAAGTGGTGCAATCCTGTGCCTAGTTGATGCTTTTCTGGCAGTCATCAGATAGGCTGCAGTCCTAGCGTTGCCTTTGGAAACATGATCTGAGGTCAGAGATGAGTCCAAGCACCCTCCCTCTGCCACTGCAGCCAGCCCACTTCCTTCCGCTCCAGCTGCAACTCTGAGGTTGCAAGCACAGCTTTGGAGTCATCATGGATGGCATTTGGGGTACAAGAAAAAGGGAAGGCTCAGGCAGGAGTTTATTTGGATTGGAACTTCAGGCACGCTGCATCAGAAGTTCTACACCCTTGCATAATGGTACACAACATAGGGCAACATTTGGGCAGTGCAACATTTAAAAAAAGTGATTGTAATGAAGAAGATTTTAAAATTGCATGATGTACGCACATTAGGGAATGCATTTGATTCTTGAGCTGACATTATATGGTTCACCTTTATCTCTATTCCCTGGAACATTCATCGAGTTTCTCCAAACCCCAGAAATCGCTTCTGCTCCCTGATCTTGGCATGTATCCTACATACTATCCATCAGTTTTGACAGTGAAAAACAACAGTGGGAGCAGGAAATGGGGAAAAGGAAATTAACTCATGTTTAGCCCAGTACTGAATACGTGCCAGGGATTCACGAGCAGAGCCAAACCTATGGGGGCATCCTGAAGTTACTGTAGAATGCACTCCCAAAACTTGCAAATATTTTGGACGAGAGCGTCCAGCATTCCAGACCAAAGGCCATGTGGCCAGGCCTGGCCTGGCCGGGATTATGGGAACTGATGTCAAAAATATTAGGAAGCCGGGAGATGGGCAGTGCTGGCAGACACACTGGACGTGCCAGATTCCATTTATTTAGCATTAGGGTGGACTTTGCCAATTCTA